AAACAAAACATTTTTCATATCTGTTATTTCCAGCATAATATTTCGACACTAAAGGAGGGGGTTTAAATTTTGTCCTCGTTTTGTTGGTATATTCTGTATGTGACTCTAGTGGTATCAATATATTTATAGGTCATATATATTGACGTGTGCCGCTGACATTTGAAGAACATTTTCGTAAACATCACCACAGTGACAATGACTCGACTGAATTTGTATTTTCTCTTGATTATAACTTCATTTAGATATACGTATTATTTTAGCAATATAAATTCGAACTTTGAAATCAAATAGTAAAAACAAACAAACAAAAACAAGAAGAAAATATACTAACTAAAAAACAAAACAAAACAAAACAAAAAACCAAAACAAAACAACACAGCAATAAGACATCGCTTTTAAACATCAATAATTTTGATTATACCTCCTCTTAACATTTTGATATTCCAGATTAATTTTAATGATTAATTTTATTTGTTAGTTTAAAATAACAGGTATATTTCTACAAAATGAATTAATTTGTAATATTTGTAAATATTATATAGTATAAATTTGCATATCTTATATACATGTAGGGACTAAAAAGGGCGTACATTGTAATAAGTTTTTAGAACGTGTGCCCAACCCTTTTGATACAATATAAATTACAACTAGTAAACGAATTGTTCACAGAACAATTAGAGGCCTTTCCACCTTTTGAAGTGTTTCCGTGTCATCTGGGCTGGAAAAAAAAAAAAAAAAAAAAAAAAAAAAATTGCTCCGCCAGCTGGTCTCGAACTGAAAACCCTTGGATTGAAAGGCAGGTGCGCTAACCATTCGGCTACGCATTCCGATAACATACATAAGTTAATTGTTTAAGACTATAGAAGAAATGCAAGCGTATTTTTAGAATCGGTAGGGGAAGAAAGAAGGTCCGTAAAAGGAAATAGTTCCTGAACTTGCAAGCAGTATATAAAATAACAAAGGGACGGGCTGCGTGAGAAAACGTTAACACTGTTCCCTAATGAAAATGTATTAATGGACTGTAAGCCCGATTCATCGATATTGTGAGCATGCTGAATTTTTTGTAAATAACTTCGTTGTAAGCTTAAAAGATCGGGTTCGGATTTTAACATTTCTGACTGAATATCCTGAAATAAATATTGAAATATGCATTTCTTTGGGTTTAATTAAATATGTGTAGCCCAAATTAAATTTCCAACATACATTTTTAGAAGGGAAACACGACAATGAAAGCGAGAATTGTTTTTTTATATACCGAAAATCGCTATTTCTGGAAACTGATTAATTCTAAATAAAAATCAAATAAATTCCAAATGTAAAAGAAAGAGAGAATGCTTGATATTAAAATGTCGTATCATATCAGGAGAATTGAATGCTACTAACGACATCTGAGGAAATAGCCGATAAAAGGTTTAGATCATTTCTTTGTTCACCCGCACTTAAATTTCAAACACAACAGAACTTGTAGTGAAACTTCATGACTTCTATAAACTTATAAGACTCACCGTAAAACTCTCCAGAAAGTTTCTCTGAGGTCTATACTACATTTTAAACCGAATTTGGTGTCGATCCGAGGTCTGGTTTGAATTCTAGAGTAATATTCTACGTTGTTGTTGATGTGATTTTTTTTTAAGAAGGGGGGGTGAATTATTTATTTTATGCCTCTTTTAAACTAAGAATTGTAACTACTTCCACATCCTTAAGCCTTATTGTGACCTTTGGGTCAAGGTCAAAGGTCAAGGTCATTAAAAAAAAAAAAACAAAAACAAAAAACAAGAAATCTTTACTTTTAAAGTTTTCACCTGATACTGGAGCTGAATGCATGTCCTTACTTTTCCATTTGACCCAAAGTCAAGGTCAAAGGTCAAGGTCAAAGTTCAAGGTCATTTGGTGAATTGCTATATTTTACACATATATAAGGAATTTCTTATGTTTTTAAATGACCTTGACCTTTGACCTTGACCTATATTTCAAGGTCAAAGGTCAAATATTGCGATGCAGTTGGTCCCATGTCTCTAGGATACACCGTTTTAAAAAAAAGTTCATTAAATGAAAGTAGCATAAACTTTCAGGGGCAGTAACTCATACAAGGGACCAAAGAATGCTTTCGCAATGATAGAATGAAGAGAGTACTAAATGAGTCAAAGACACTGATGAAGGTTTGGAATCTCTACGGTTTACGGTTTCGGAGGAGTAGCGATAACAAAGTTTTGTTGCAAAAGGGGTGACAACTTTTGAATGGGTCAAGCTCGGGGGACAAGAATGAAATCTTTGAAATAGTTTAAGAAGGACATATTATAGATGCAAAGATATTCAGTATATGTTGAAAGACAAAAGAGATATTAAAAAAGCTAATTTTCTCATATTTTGAATGACCTTGACCTTTGACCTCTATATAAATTTCAAGGTGAAAGATTGAGATATCCAATGCCATTGGTCCCATGTCTCTACGATTAATCGTATAGAAAAAAAATTAATTATTCGTAACCATCAAAAACTTTCAGGGGCAATAACTAATTAAAGGGGTTTATGCAACCTTTCGCACTGAATAGATTGAAGAGTCTACAAAATTAGTCAAAGACATTAGTGAAGGTTTCGTATCTCTACGGTTTAGGGTTTCGAAGGAGTAGCGATAACAAGCTTTTATTGCGAAAGGGGTTGTAACTCCTTGAGGGGTCAAAGTTCATATGCGCAGGGTCAACTATAAAAATCTTTTACGAAGTGCATTCTTATGGACCATAAATCTTTTCGATAACTTTTAAAACAAAAAACCATTCGGCGGAAAAATAATAAAAATAATAATAATAACTAGGAGACTAATTGTTCTCGAACAATTAGAGGTCTTTCCACCTTCTTTAAATTTCATATATTTTTCATATTTTACTCTCTAAAGATAATTTTTACACAAAAAGAATCCATAAATGGCTTGAAAGATAGAAAAAATGAGATTTTTATAAATTTTGAAATGACTTTGGCCTTTGACCTTGAACAAATATTCAAGGTCAAAGGTCAAGGGTCACATTACACTTGACCCCATGCTTCTACAACTTTTAGTTTTAAAGTTATAAGGTTTAATAGTAAGCGCAAAGACGTTAAAGGGCAATAACTCATATAAGGGGTCACAGGATACTTTCGCACTGAATAGTTGAAGTTGTGTCTAAAAACCCTGAAGACATTAGTGAAGGTTTTGTGTCTCTACAGTTCACGGTTTCAGAGGAGTAGCGATAACAAGGTTTTTAGTGAAAGGGGCAATAACTTTTAACGGGGTCAATCTTATGGAACAAGTATAAAATCTTTGAAATAGTTTTAAGAGGACATATTAAAGATGCAAAGATATATAGAATAGGTTGAAAGACAAAAGAGATATAAAAATAGCTTAATTTCTCTTATTTTGAATGACCTTGACCTTTGACCTTGAAAAAAATTTCAAGGTCTGAGGTCAAAGAATCTGATGCAGTTGGTTCCATGTCTCTACGACTTATCGTTTTCAAAATTTTTCAATATACGTTAAACTTCATAAACTTTCAGGGGTAATAACTCATTGAAGGGGTCAATGAATACTTTCGCAATGAATAGATTGAAGAGTCTTCTAAATTAGTCGAAGACATTGGTGAAGATTTCGTATCTCTACGGTTTACGGTTTCAAAGGAGTAGCGATAACAAGCTTTTACTGCGAAAGGGGTAATAACTCTTTGAGGGGTCAAAGTTCATTTACGCAGGGTCAAATGCAAAAATCTTTTACGGAGTACATTCTCATGGACTATAAATCTTTTCGAAAGATCTTGAAACAAAAAAGCGTCCGGCGGAAAAATAATAAAAATAATAATAAACAGAACAATTTCAATAGGTCTTTCCACAGAAAGGTGGAAAGACCTAATAATAAACAGAACAATTTCAATAGGTCTTTCCACAGAAAGGTGGAAAGACCTAATAATAAACATAAGCATTTCAAGAGGTCTTTCCACAGAAAGGTGGAAAGACCTAATAATAATAAACAGAACAATTTCAATAGGTCTTTCCACAGAAAGGTGGAAAGACCTAATAAAATATGTTCAAACCAAAGAAACCAACTTTATCAAAGAAACTCCTCTATTAAAATGTGCAGAAAACCGTATATTTATCTATAGAGAAAGCGTACGTAAAAGTACAGAATGCAGAACCCGGCCAAAATTATGCTGCGTTTAAACAGCAATATTGCATTAAAACACTATAGACAAATGTAATAAAAATTGTAAATTCATATGAAACAATTAGTACAATGCATGTCGATTCATCATGAAGGGGATGCTTTCTCGTGAGATTTTTCGTGCTGTATATCTGCAATCCCTCTTATAAAAAATGCAAGCGTGTAGTCAAATCTGTGTAAGAAAATTAATACCGAAGTTTTTTTTTTTTTTATCTTTATCATCCCACCCCACCCATGCATCACACCCACACTAAAAAATTCCTGGATCTGCCCTTGGTATACATAATCATTTGATTTTTTTTAAATCAATTTATTAATGATCATGGATGGTAATTTTTTTTTTATGTATTATTATTTTATTTTATTTCATTTTTGATGTACACAAGAGTGGCCATGGATCAAAAGTCAAATAATGTAATTTGATAACGTATCTTTTATATCAAGTAACTTATTATGCATTTGTGTGTCTAGAGGCTGGGGAAACTAAATCAAGTAATTTTAATTTAATTTGCTAAATAGATTTTATAAAATTGAAAATTCTGTGGAGTGTGGACCTGACACCCCCTCCTCCCTTTTTTCCCCGACTGAAGTCGGTTATTACTCTACGAAGTGGGAAAAAACTCAGTCTAGCAGTATTTATGTTTATTGGAATTTAATAGGAATATCAATTTTCCTATCCCCCTTTTTAGGTCATTATTTTAACTTGCATATTAATTTTACTTTACCTTTAGATCCGCCAATACTATACTTCGAAATTTTCCGTTAAACTCCGCAGCTGTACGGAATCAGTCGATTATATTCGAAGCGCGGATAGCGAGTTTGCGCATGTCCGTTTGCACGAATTCCTGGCGACAAAATAAACTAAACAACATGATACCAAAAAGATAGCATTAATGTAGTACAGGGAGCTAAATCCAGCAATATCTGAATATGAATTACGGGTAATTATGACATTATACTTATCTAAAAAAGTTTAGCGATTTCCATTTCTGTTTAAAGCAGTGAAACTGACAAAACGTTAGAACGTCTTCGTCTTCACGGTCTTGTCTGTCAGTGTCACCCTGTTTCAGAAACAGTGCCTCGGGCAGCTATAGTACAGACAGAGATTAATCATACAACTCACATGTGATAAACATTTCAGGTCATTTTTGTGAGTGTGTATGTACATTGAAAGATGTGACTATGATGACAAGCTGCATTGGATTACTTTCTCTACCCCCCCCCCCCCCCCTTTTCAACTTTAAATTATACAGTTATAAGTTTGATTACTTTGTAGGTACCTTTAGAAATATTTAGGTCAGTATTTTCATTTTGATCAAACAAAAACGTCCAGTATTTTCTCATCGCTTATCTAATGTGTAATATGAGATCAGGGTAACATAGATCTCCAGATTGCAGTCTTATTCATGTAAATGTACATATTGTATAGCATTTAGAGTCTTCTTGAATGGATCCATGTAAATGTACATATTGTACAGCGTGTAGAGTCTTCTTGAATGGATCCATGAATTGACAATGCATTGTCTGTTTTTGGATATAGTAGCACAGGTGTGTCTGCAAATTTATGTTTACATTATATACAACAAGATGGAGACAACAATACCAGATTTATATGTACATGTAATTTGATGCAAAGTAGTAAGTTGGCTGCAATCTTGGATTTTTTACCTAAGCATGAAATATATTTTTCTAGCTGTCCCTGGTAGGAGGCTTGGCTAGCATACATATACAGAACTTTCAAAAAGATTAGAAACAGCTGGTACTTTTACAAAATTACTGAATATGTTATAAAAATTTTCTCAAACAAATATTTCTGCCAGTACAATTAAGATTTCAGCCAGGTAAAAGTACTGGGTACCGGCAGATTTTGAAAGGCCTGCATGTATGATATTGCTTAAGATGAAGGTGAAACATATAGGATATATAGTCACCACATTCTTGAATGCAGCCTGTAAATAAATTATTTTTAAATTAAATTTCAGCAATGATAGTGTCTAAAGAAGATCCTAATTTTTAGTTTTAAACACATGTGATGTAAAATGTTCATTAAGAAATGATGTGAAAAAAATATTAATAATATTTCTATTATTTCTTGTTCTTGAATAGGTTGTTAAACTTCAAAGCTCAAAATGGCAAGCCTGGGATATTTTGGACAAATGGTATGTATAATTCATATTGATGCCCCCTCCCTGACAATGTGTCATCATCATTAATTAAGGATTCATTGTTTAATTTTTCATTTCATAATCTTCTTAGCTCTTATATGATTTTCAGAAGTGCATTGTTTACACCCTTGAATGTTTTATGACAGTAAAATCCCAAAAATAATTCTTTAACATGTTTAACACTTTCATTTATGTTGTTTCACTGGTCAGGTTAGACTAGTATCAAGAACTTGCCATTCAGTAACTCACAAAATTTTTCAACTCGATTTTTTTCCCAGAAAAACTTCTGTCCCGGTTTTATTCATAAGTTTTCTAACTTCCCATTTTCTGCTTGCTATTTTTAAATAGCTTGGTGAACATGTAGAAAAATGATCTCTAGTAGATGGGGATGGGGATGAGAAATTGCATTAAGATAGGGCAATGATGATGTCCCTGCCAAAGAATTAAGCACTGTCCAACTCACTTCCCTAAATAAGTTTAGAAAAGCTAGGGAGTAAAATTTTTAGAAAACTGTTATCATGGTTATCAAAACATGTCGTGTATGTCCTTTGCAAAGCATGCAAGGAAATATGAAAACAGTGGAACAAGTTTGATATCTAATATTTTTATTGATTATGAACTACCGCAGCCAAAAGAGATAAACATGTGAGAAAATGCACAACATGGTGCCAAGAACATTACTGGGGGGAAAAAAAAGAAAGTACATATAATTCAAATAATTGTTAATTAATGTGAAATATACCTATGGTAATACATGTATTTTCATAAACAGTGAGGCTACAAAATCACATGTGTCCTATTCTAAATAAATTCTGAAACTGTGATTATAATTTCATTTGGATGCATCAACTACCGGTAGTTGTAGCTTATAAGCAACCTAAAAATCCTTCCAGTGTCCCATTCGATGTATATATATTATTATATACATGCATTATTATTCCAATTTTGTAAACTGCATGTAAAAGTTGTAAACCACTTCAAATTGCAGATTGTTATAAATGTCTTCTTAAATAAAATAATTTCTGTTTTTCAGAACAACAAAAGAAGCCTCTGAAGAAGGTAAAAACAAAGCCACAGAATCATTTCTCTTGCAAAGTCTCTCTTTATCTCTCTCTGGTTCTGTGTACACAGAATCCATTACTCTCTCTCTCTCTGTTTCTATGTACACAGAATCATAACTCTCTCTGGTTCTATGTACACAGAATCATAACTCTCTCTGGTTCTATGAACACAGAATCATAACTCTCTCTGGTCCTATGAACACAGAATCATAACTCTCTCTGGTTCTACATTGTTCTATGAACACAGAATCATAACTCTCTCTGGTATTATGTGCACAGAATCATAACTCTCTCTGGTCCTATGAACACAGAATCATAACTCTCTCTGGTTCTATGAACACAGAATCATAACTCTCTCTGGTTCTATGAACACAGAATCATAACTCTCTCTGGTCCTATGTACACAGAATCATAACTCTCTCTGGTCCTATGAACACAGAATCATAACTCTCTCTGGTCCTATGTACACAGAATCATAACTCTCTCTGGTCCTATGAACACAGAATCATAACTCTCTCTGGTTCTATGAACACAGAATCATAACTCTCTCTGGTCCTATGAACACAGAATCATAACTCTCTCTGGTCCTATGTACACAGAATCATAACTCTCTCTGGTCCTATGAACACAGAATCATAACTCTCTCTGGTCCTGTGTACACAGAATCATAACTCTCTCTGGTCCTATGTACACAGAATCATAACTCTCTCTGGTCCTATGTACACAGAATCATAACTCTCTCTGGTCCTATGTACACAGAATCATAACTCTCTCTGGTCCTATGAACACAGAATCATAACTCTCTCTGGTCCTATGTACACAGAATCATAACTCTCTCTGGTCCTATGTACACAGAATCATAACTCTCTCTGGTCCTATGTACACAGAATCATAACTCTCTCTGGTCCTATGAACACAGAATCATAACTCTCTCTGGTCCTATGTACACAGAATCATAACTCTCTCTGGTCCTATGTACACAGAATCATAACTCTCTCTGGTTCTATGAACACAGAATCATAACTCTATCTGGTCCTATGAACACAGAATCATAACTCTCTCTGGTTCTATGAACACAGAATCATAACTCTCTCTGGTCCTATGAACACAGAATCATAACTCTCTCCGGTTCTGTGTACACAGAATCACTACACTCTCTGGTTTTGTTACACATACATGTTGTTTAACTTAATTCACATTATTTGTGTACAGACACTACCTCATATATGTTAACATAAGCATATCATAAAGATTGATAGATTAATATTTCATGTCTTACCCAAGATAAGATCAGTTGTCTATTAAATTTAAGATAACCTGGATGTTAATGTGTTTTTATGTAATACATGTACATCTTATCTAAGGAAACAAAAAAGACAGTAAGTGGTAAATATTTTTCAAATGCATGCTGAACCTACATCCTGTACTGTTAATACTGTGAAATTTATTTAACCATGTTAATGGGAATCTGATCAATTTGAAAATTAAGAGAACGCATGATTTCAATACTAATTTCATGTTTACCTGTAATAATTTTTTGAGTATGTTTATGCTACATATGGTATGGTTAGCCAGACAATGCAATGTGTGTTAAAGCTGTTTTTTCAATGCATATGTTGGAAGTTAGTTGCAATTGGAAGCCTGAAATTTCAGTTGTCCCCCTTTCTTTGTAGTATCTTATTTGGGAGGGTTGTAACATGGTGGGGATTATGACCTTAACTTTGTAACCAATCTATTGAATATTATTATATCAGGGTTGTGATGATGAATATAACATCAGCATAGTTTAGGTAGATATCAACCTCATCATTAACTCTCAGATTTAAACCTTGTCTTCTCAGGAAGTCTTGCACAAAGCCATGATCAACATCTGTATTCAAGACAAAGTACATTAGGTTGTTTAAATGGATGTTGCCGAGTATGTCAAGCAAGGGTGCATTAAATAGGCATTGAATAATATATGTAACTTGTTCAATTTAATGCCACTGGATTGAATTTCAGGATCTGTTTGAAATCTAAATGCACAACCCATCTTTATGTTTCATATGTTATTCACTGCATGATACTGCATTTATGTCCTAATATCTTATCTGCGGATATACATTTTGATTTAAATATACCACTGGATTGAATTTGAGGTCTAAATGCACACACTCATCTGTTCGTTTTATGTAATTCACTTCATACTGTTGCATTTATGTCCCTACATCTTCACTTACATGTATACATTTTGTTTTCAATATCTAAAAGTTTACCTGTAATTAATCCAACATCTAACATTCATTGAAGTCATCATCAGTGGTCACGATTAAAAACCATTAACCCAAAATGAAGCTGTGGTCATGATGGTTCTTAAATATAAATGGTGTCTGAACATGCTTAAAGACATGCTTAAAGACATTTAAATTAAGCTAGTCTTGTTTTGCAAACTTTCATCACCCAAAATGTGGCAGATTTAAAAATTAAGTAAGAGTAAAGCATATTTTTTAACGAATAGAAAATCTAATCAGCAAGTTGAAGTTTGTATCCTAGATCAGATATTAATAGCAAATTAAATGAAAAGAGCATCTCAACAATTTTAATATTTTGTTAATTAAAAATAATTTTTGATTCCATAGGTTGACTACAAAACAAGAAAACAGCCATTTGAAATACGTCATCATCCCAAGAACTATGACAGAATAGAACCAGAGGTAGACAACATCCTGAAACCTCTACCAGATGATAAGCCAAAGGAACCAGAAAAACCAAAAAAGCCAGCCAAAAACTTCATCCAGAAGAACCGAGAGAGATTAGGCAAGGGTAAGAAAGGGAAGGAGGACAAGAAGGATGGGACTGTGACCTTGACCCAAGAACAGCTGAATGCTATTTTAGCTTCAGTTGGGAAGGTAGCCTCAGGAGAAGAGGACAAACTAAAGATACATATAGGTGAGTCATACTATATAATACATTAAATAAAATTTAGTTATTTAAACTTTATAATGAACAATGCAGATTAGGCCAAAAAAAATAATAGTCTTGTTTCCTGCTACCAGCCTGAAAAAAATAGGGTAGGTAGGTAGGAAAATTATTTTATATTTTTATTTTATTTTTTTTCGACAGCATGTTTTGGATATGAACTAATACGAGATCAAATTAAACATGTCACAGGTCAATATTGTCTTTTAAAATTAAATTTCATGTCTTTTTATGCACAACTCAAGTGGTATTTTATGAAAGTCCATGTTTAAAACAAGAATTTCAAGAAATGCTTGTTTTGTGTTAACACTGAAACTGATCACAGTTACAGAACGATGAAATTCCAGAAATTCCCAACTTTTTTTTTCTTCCAAAACTTCAAAAAAACTTTAGGGTTGGGTGCAAAAAAATAGGGTAGGTCGGGTAGCAGGAAACAAGACTATTATTTTTTTGGCCTTAAAAGTGTAAAATATAGGCAGTGATGAATATATAATCCATTATAGATTCAGAGCATAATGAGGTGACGATAGAATCCCCCCGAAGGAGGGAAGCCAGTGACGATGAAACAGAAAAACACTACAGAGACCGGTCAGAGAAAGAGAATAGTCATTCCAAGTCCAGAAAAGAACGACGGAAGAAGGAGGATGATAGTATCTATGCCCTGATGGGTGGGGACTCAAATCGGTCCAAAAAGGACAGGTGAGGAAGTAACGGAGTGTAGTCTAATTATTGTGTGTGACTTACATGTAATGTTTTAATCACCTTTCACATTCACATTTTTACTAGAAATAGGTTTAGTAAGAATGAATAAATAAACATTTCACAGATGCACAGTACTGAATTCTTTTATAAAGATTTTGTAGCTTTGCATGCCTCACAATCAATGGATTAATGTGTGAATATCAGTTCTTTGCATATTAATTTAGTTAATCAATATGTTCATTTTTCTGTTTTGCTTTTAATGTGATAATTTGATGTATCACCTATCATTTTATAGACTTAATGCACATTAAATATGTATTTGCTTGTTTGAGTGGTTGATTAATTTTGCATGCACAGGGACAGGAGAACTGAGCGTGATGTATCAGATGAGCGAGATCACCGTCACAGAAGGTCTCGAGATGACTCACGAGAACGGTATAGAACTGATCAATATGATAAAGCTTTTTATGATAGCTGTATATGCATACAAATTACACTTATTAACTATATTGATGTTTTTAATGTCATTTATTTCTCTAATGTTGCATATATTTCAATTTTTTGTGTTGTGTTTTTGGATCCACTTAATACATGATTTAAGATTTGTATATATTTTCTGCAATCATTATTTTGTTTCGTTTTTGACAAAGGTAGACATGCTATTTTACCTTGAGTTGTAAGTCATATGATTATTTCAGTTGATTGTCAGTGTCAAGAATCTCAATGGTCCATTTATTACAGTGTAAAAGTAATTAAGTACATTTCATACCAAAAATAATTTGTTTACAGACACAGGAGAACAGAACGTGACCATTCAGAAGAAAGAAGCTCTCATCGAGACAGAAAATCTCGAGATGACTCAAGAGAAAGAAATCATTCCCGAGAAAGGTACAAACACTCTCATGATAGAGATCGTAATCATGATCGTGAGAGGGAGAGACATCCCAGTTACGATCCTGATTATGATCGTAAAAGGAAACAGGAAGACTCCACAGAGAGAATTCTAAAAGATCTGCGACAGAAAGCAGAAGATCAGCTTGAGAAGAGCAGGGGAAATGACAGACTAAGAGAATCGAAATCTAAAGATAGTGATATTAGGGACTTGAAAAAGTATGATTCCACAACCCATCTTTCACCTGACCCTAACATTGAAAATGTCTCACCCCGAGAGATAGCTGGTATCCCTGTGTCCCTACCCTGGAAGCACATGACTGTAGCCGAAAGGCGGAGGTTAATGATTGCTCGAGAGAAGGTTTTAGCAGAGGCTGAAAAGTAAGGCTGTTTCCGCAGTACTGCCAGCACTGATATGCTAGCTCTGTTATGCTGCCAGCAATGATATACAGTGCGGACTCGTTATTACGGTGACGGTTTTATAAGATAGAACGCTTATTACGTTGTAAATTCAAAGCACAAAACCATTTCTTAACAAATCTATACAAAATAGAACTGTTTATTACGATGTCCTTAAATGCCGGGACTCGGTATTACGATGTAAAAATTCTGTCCAAAATTTTTTTCACTCTGTGTTTATTCAGTGTTGATCGACGGTAGACACTTAAGGAGATGCTAAATAAACATTGAAACACCTGTGCTCTGACAGAGTGTTAACTTGCAGGGCCGTAAGGTGATTAGTGACGCTTGACTGCACACACCTTGACTATTCTAGCGAGGTCAGCAGAATTGGAGACGTGTCAAAGCCATTGTTAAACAATTAAACTGTTTATTTATAAATGTAGTCTCTAGTTTATCTATCTCTGTTAAGTTTATTTTATTTTTTTTACTATGGTTAATAAGTAAAATTAATTTATTTAGTAAAAGGTTACATTTAATCGTATGCATGTATGTTAAATACGTAATGTGTAATTTCGTTTGCAGTTAAACTGCGGAATTGACAGCTTGGGTATCAAACATAAATTTGGCAAAATTTGAACTCCAATAACGTTTTAACAGCTTGGATAGTGGCTTGGACTACCTCACAGGTGTCAGCAGAAATACAAATACAAATCGATAATTGCTGAACTGCTAATTGAAGTCTGTTCAGTAATTTAAAAATTCAAATTTATTTTGACATTTAGCTTGTGTGTTTTCAAATCCTGTCCATGAATATGCCTATCACACTGCCCACTTTCATCAGTTGTTCACTGCAGCTCTAAGCTCATTGAACACCCAAAACCGCCCAGTGATGTATTGTTGTTGTTTATGTGGTAACGATATGAAGACATTGAAAATTTTACGAATGCATTATCTAGACAGAAACGAAAGTAAAAGTAAACGGAAATGGCGGCAGATAAATGAAGATTGCCGAAGTTTTTATAAAAAATGTGCATATTTCTTTTAAAATGAAGGAAATAGAAGAAATAGTATCATGACGATATCTATTCAAGATAAGTTATTAATAAATTATATGTATATAGCGTTTTAATGAAGAATTTGAACAGAAGAAGGAAACAAAAGGAGAAAAATACACCTCCTAATACAACAACAAGCTTTCAAAACGATGTTTTACTGGATTTTATTGGGAACTTTTATTACGTTGCCCTCGGTATTACGATATTTTACCGTGACAAAATGAACATCGTAATAACGAGTCCGCACTGTACTGCCAGCACTGATATGCTAGCTCTGTTATGCTGCCAGCAATGATATACTGCCAGCACTGATATGATGCTAGCTCTGTTATGCTGCCAGCAATGATATACTGCCAGCACTGATATGATGTAGCTCTGTTATGCTGCCAGCACTGATATACTGCCAGCACTGATATGCTGCTAGCTCTGTTGTGCTGCCAGTACTGATATGCTGCCTTGTGTATTTGCTTTGCTGTAGCACCCATGTTGTGCTGTGTCTTCTATGTAACATAGTCCTGTATCATCATTTTGCTCACTTTCTTCATTTTCACAAGTAGATCACCAGAATTCCTGTCTTTTAATAGATCTTTGGCAGTTTCTTTGTAGGAAGTATAGAGTTGGTTTGATATAAATTTAGCCATTTGCTGAATATTACTTTATATTCTGTTTACTGTACCTTACATGCTCACTCTATTTCCTTAAAGTTAAAGAAGCATGTCATCATCATTCTTTTCCTCTACAGATTTCAGATGTTTTATGCTTGACTGCACCTTTCCTCTATGTAGCTGTTGTACTAGCACTAGATCCGATTCTTTTCACATTATCATGTTTCTTGTGTTAGTTGGTGTTTGGTTGATACAGAACTGTGTTTTTCACTGTTCCCTGGCTTTTTGCATCGGTAGAGGCTCTTTTAATTAACACTGTGTGTATGTCTTGTGAATTGAATTGGTAGAAGCACATCTGTATAAATATTTTCAGTGGCATATGATTTTAGAAGTCGTTTTGGTGGAGGCATAGATATACATGAATGAATTTTTGCATGTAAGCCAAAGAATAGTTAGCAAAATTTATCTTAATAGATGAGTGCAACATGATTTACAGCATTTATGAAAGAATATTTGATTATTGTTGATATTTCTCAGTGATTAATGTAGACATGTAGTAATAATTTTAAGCAAAGGAGTATTAATTTTGAGTAAGTTCTATTGGTGCATAAAATGTATGATTTTAAGGAGGAACTGAGCTGTAAACATCCCCTGTCTTATTTATGGTCTTGTTTAATCTTAAGCAATTGTTGTAGGAGAAAGGAGGAGGGTGTGAAATCCAAGTGGAGGGAGATGGTGAAGGAGGAAACAGAGAAATTAGAAACTAGGAAAAAGAAGGAGAGTAGAAGACGCAGTCCCAGTTACTCTCCTCCGAGATCTCGAGATGGATCAGGGGACAGGAGGCGAGATGATTCCAGGGATCGCAGAGAACGTTCTCGAGAGAGGAGGCGAGACAGGTTATCACCGTCCGACAGAAGAGAGTCACGGTCAAGGGAAAGGAGGCGCAGGTCACCTTCAGATGATCGTAGGGAATATCACTCTCGGGAGAGGCGAAATTCAAGGGAAAGATCTCGAGATGACTCGTCAGACAGATCAAGACATAGGTCACGGAGGCGGTCACCCTCACCGGTCAATCGTCAGGAGGATAAGACCAGTAGCACTAGCATTGCAACAAATGCCAGTACTAGACCCCCAACAAATATGTCATTAGCAGAGAAAAAAAGACTACAGTGGGAAAAGGAAAGAGGTATCGAAATCTTGCAAGTATAAAATTAATGTCAACTTGCCCATACAGGAATATTGTGATTTTTTGTCAAATAATCAAAGAGTGCTCTTAGGGCCTGTAATATGGCAATGTAATATCCAGTAATTAAAATTTGTTTAAACTATCTGATTTTGTAGCTGAGTCACAAGTGGGATACACTCCATGGGGAAAGCCGGGAGCAGGTGCCCCTCTAAGGACAAAGTCGGGGAAACTGGCCGCAGACTACAGAGCTAGACAGGTGTTTAAATGTGCTAGTGGTCGTAAAATGGTCTACATGGATTAAACATGTTAGATATTGAAATGATCTCAGGTTGTATTGGGAGGATTAAAATGTACAGTGTATCTTTAATGTGGTAGAATGTCAGAGAGGGAAAAAATAGTTTTGTTTTAAAAATTAAGTTAGGGTGGCTAGAACTGAAAACCAGATTATAAGCATGAAAAAAAAATGAGTGCAGTATTACATCGATTAATGTTGCACAATCACTATTGCATGGTGTTAAAACATAATACAACGATGTTTTTAGAACTTGTTTCATGTATACATATGATTCTTTTTTGACTGACTAGTTTCCTTTGTTATAATATTAGGTATTCAACAAGGTAAACAAAAAACTCAATTATAAAAGCCTTTAAATTATGCTATGTATCAGGTTAGATAATTTCTTTTTATCGCCTTCAAAGAGCTTTTTGTGTGCCTCATCTTCAGCAGACTCTGTGGCTTTCTCTAGCTTCTCTCTGTTTCTGGGAGGTTGTTCAGAAGTTCTTCCAGCTGGTCCAGTAAGATATCAACAAACTTAGTAACTACTGCAAGCATAGTCCTCTCCTGAGGATAGGAAATACCTGTAATTTAATATGTTGTGCCATTTGTGTTGATTCTTAAGTGTTTGCTTCTGAAAGTTGAAGATGGTCATCATTGTCATACCATACATAGATACATTTGAAAGCTTTATAAAACAATCTATTTATGCATACATATAGGTTTGTAATAAAATTTCAAAATGGACAACCTTATGTGTTATATACATGAAGGTAGATGTGAAATTTGAGGATTATGAATTTTTTCTTTAATTTGCTCACCTGACATGAAAAGCAACATTGGTATTAAATCATGCATATTGTAGGTTCTGATTTGGTGGGATCTAATTTTCAAATATCTTAAAGCTGCACTATATGTCTCTTATTTTTTGCTTATTTTTCACAGAAAGTAGGCATCTGAACAAACCACTGATTGTATTAGTTATGTACTTGTGTTTACTGTTTAGTATACTTTGCTTGTGGACAATCTCTCATATTTTATTCTCCTGTTCATTAAGACTTTTTCCTGCTGATTATGAGATTTGTTTTGGTAGAGACAACTCTTGTTTGAAGGGGTTAGTTTGCTCAGTAATAGCTATGAAATGTTGAATATTTTATAGCACTGGTCAGTTCATTAGGAACGAGGTTTATTTTACATTTTTCACTTTTTTTTATATTCTGCATATTCATTGGGTTTTCACTTATTTATATTCTGCACCTACATATTTACATGTGTTTTAGTATATTATCTATTTTGTTATTTGTGGCATATGGAGCCTTATATACACAGAGGAGATTTTTAATGTCTCAACTCCCTTTTGACAGTTTAAAGCACAGTAAACAAGGTTATTTTCACTAAATATCTCTTATAAATGATTTTGGCCAGTCAAAGTTGCACTAAAAGAGAGATAATTGTCTTATTTGAACTCATCCAGTTTTGAATCTGCCCACTGACTACAAGGGCAAAAGGGGTTAAAATTAAATGGGGGTGAAAATTTCCATGTGTATAGTACATGATAAGAAACCACTACTTTTGGAGTTCTTTTGATGGAAGAAGATTTTTTGCTTTTATCTGACTAACATTCTGATATTACAATGCTGGTCATGATAATGCAAAGTTATAAGCTGTTTTATTATTCTGAAGAATATTTGTTAAGAATTGTCATTTTTCAAGCTGACAACTAGAGATTGGGTTACATACATCCTGTGACAAAATCCACTTGATTCAATTATAATGAAGTTAAATTCTTTTTCTGTTTGTGTTAAAGCAGATTTCTTATTAAGTGCATGAATTTGATAGCCAGAGTTCAGCGATGTTTCGGAGTGTTACATTTTTCTTTCTGTGTAATATTTGAATCACTCCATTTTTGTGCCAGTGTTCATGTAGAGGCTCAGTATTTGGACAAAATTTTGATTTTTTTTTAATTTTATTACTATAATTTTTTTTTTGTTAATTCTTAGAAAAAAAATGTAATAAAAGTGATTTCTTATACAAGTTGTTTGAGTCCTTTTTTGCACACTAGATGAACTCTGGCTATCAGTTATATAATTGCACTGTCCAAATATCTTTCAAACTTAATCATTATAAATTAAACTGCAAACATATAATTAGTGATAGCCAGAGGTTCTTTCTGTGAATGTAAAATAATACCTACAGGGAGAAGATGATGAAAAAAGAAAAATTATGCAGAGTCTTGAAGAATAATTAAATTAAAAATTAAAGAATGAGCAAAAATTTCATATAAATGGAAGCTGGGGATTACCTCTGCCAAAATTCTACTGAAATCATTTGAAGACATGATTTTGCAGGGATATAGACATCAACTTTCAAAAGAACTTGAAGTTTGATGACTCTGAATGTAAAACTTGATTACCTGAAATAAGAAAAAATTAACTCAATTATTTTTATTTCAGTAACTCGAGATATAGGACTGGAACAGTGAAAAGTAATTAATATTTGCTAACATTATTACAAATCATTTAAGAAATAGTCATAAATTCCATACAGTACCGGTATATCTATTATAGGGTCCTTTTCTTTAATTGAATTTGACCCCCCTCCCATTCCCCACTCTGCACAGCCATGTTGAAAAAACATGGTTACAGCTGTACTAGAAAATGAATTTTTGAATGATCATTGATATAAAGCAGTATATCTAGAAAGGCTAGGAAAGGATTCAGAATGAATTTAAAAAAGGTCATTTTCTGGCTAAAATCAAGATTTCAATTTATTGTTTGGTTTATGAAGTAATGTAAGATATATAAAAATGAACCTCTCTATGAGAATTATTCACTTGCCTGATCTGACATGTACACTGAAAGTGTCACTTTCTCAAACTTATAGGACAGAGCATCTTGCAGTTTTATGCAAAATAATGATCAACAAGACATTAATTGTAAGAATGAAAAAGACAGGCCAAGATTATTCGATTTGTTTTTAAAGACTAAGAAATGTAAGCAGTAAATAATAATTCTTGGCAAATGGAATTGTAGAAGTTTAAAATCAGTTCAGAAGTATGTATTAACATACAATGAACAAGAAACTTTGTTATTTTATTCTTATGTAATTAATTTTTAATGAATTTTACACTGTAAAATATAGTATTTGCATATGTGTACACAAATGTATCACACGTTTATGTGATTTTCTCATGACAAGAGAGTGTTGAATTGATCACCTGTTCAGGTACAAGAGCTAGGGTACTTAGAATATCCTGTGAAATACCTGTATTACAGAAAAAATATTTAGACTACATAGCACATAAGGGACAAAGGCATTGTAATGAGAAATTGTAAATGATCATTGCGGCCACTAAAATTATCTTTGATGAAATGCTAACAAATGCATTCAGATCAGTTGAAGAGGTATAGTATGACTCTTATTACATTGTGAGTACAGTGATATAAGAGCCAACTTTTTAATACTGGAAGAAGAATCAAATGTTAGCGATATAGTGATTTCATAATTTTTTTGTTGAATACCATTTCTGTTGTTTTTGTGGTTGAGATGGACCACAAAATTAAGTGATCAACAATCTACAAAAATTTTACTTGTGATAGATTATGGGGCAAAGTTGCTGTCCAGTAATTTATATATCAATGAAGGTTTTTGCCAATCCTATGAAATTTGATTCCCACAAAAATCAATGAAACCTGCAAAGTCAATGTTTTATCATCCACGTTTGGAAGGCTATAAGACAAATGACATTCATTATACTGCTGAGCAAGGAGATTCTAAAAATGGGACTTTTTTTTGGTTGGTTGGGAGGGGGGATAATTGAGGTTGATCTTTAACATGGCTTACATTTTAGCAGTGATAACATGAATATTTATTATCCATTAAACAGGAGGACTATCCTGATACAATAGATGAAGAATCTGAAACTGTCAATCAAAACAGTTCCCAGAATGCATCTGAGAACAAGAGCAGACGACAAAGGAAAGAGTCAGAGAAGAGGGAGGAAATCCAAAAGAATCAACAGCCTACTGTTAGTACATCTAGTCGAAATGTTCCAGCAGCCATGAGAAGCTCCTTCATATTTGGAGTAAGCAAAAAAAATTATCTCTACATGTATCTGCATGTGTTCATAATCATAAATATCTAGCCTACCAGGTGTGGTAGCTGCTAGGTCTATGGAAGATACTGTATGAATTTACAATTGTTTAATATCCCTCAGAGTGGCTAGTAGGGCTGTCACGGTTCCAAAATTTTTCCGGTCAGGTTGATTCTGTAAATTTTCGATTTGGTTTCGGGTTTTTTGGTTCGGTTATATACATCTATTTTAAAGCTTAATTTCATGAATTTAACTTTAAAAATCTTTATTTGTTAAATTTACAAGTCTTAACCATGCGAACGTCTAGACATCGGTGTGTAGAACTACTTGGCCTACTATTAGCCAAAACCTGACCATTCCTGCTTGTTTTGATAATTATCTAATACTAAATTAAGTGTTTTGTCATGGAATGAAGTAGATTTCAATTGTGATGTTTATTTATCACTGTTATCGTCTTCATTCCTTTGATCAAGGACCTATATATATAGGTCCCTGCTTTGATTTCAACGCCCTTTTTTGTATTGAACAGACTCTAATGTATAAACAAGACCCGAACCGAAATCCAGAAAAATGGAACCGGAACCAAACAACTTGGACCACGGTTCTCGGTTATTTCGGGTACTCGTGACAGTCCTAGTGGCTAGGCTAGCACATTGTTCATGATTCTAGCTCAATGTAGAGCTGTGTAGCTGGCTAGCAGTTCTGCAGTTACATGTACTTGTAAATAGAGGAAGAAAGCAAGTCCCCCAGGCCAAGTGTAATTATTGATAATTCTGTTTACAGCAAATAGCTCCAGATGCTGACATGTATGAAACGACAAAGGAACGGGAGAGGCAACAATGGCTAAAGGACCTTGGTATGTTACATTAACAGGAAAAACTGCTTCTGAAATTTAATAGCTGAAATTTCAATTATCAGATGTGATATAACAAAAAAATTATAAAGAAAAGCATGTGTATTGAATAGAGAACTTCCTGCAATTTCATACTCAGGTTATATGCTTTCGGTTATAAGGCACATTATATAACCACTTAAATGAGTTCATAAGAGAAATGTCTAGAGCTGTGATGAATGAAGTCAAACACGCACGGGTACATGTAACATTCTAGTTTTTATATCGGTACCATATAGTAGCTTTAATGTTATAAAATAATACATTTTCCGTTAATATTTTCAGAGTTGTTGAAATTACCACAAACAGCAATGAGACAATATATCTTTCATGATCACTTTAATATTACGTGATTACAAAAGTTTTACTTTGCTGCAATTTTAAGAGAGACAAAGAGAAGAAAAACGAGAACAGCAGATCAAAGACTACGAAGGAACACAGCAAGGGAAGAATACCTGGGCAGATAAATTTTCTAACGATTATCGCCCTGCACGGCTACCTGAGCAGCTGCCAGAGACGGTCACACGTGAAGATGTCGATGCTGCAGCGGACACAAATCGTATCAGCAGTGCTCCTGTCAATGTGTCACAGACAATCAATGATAGTGAAGACAAGTAAAAACCTACACAATACTGTAGAAACAAATATTAAAATCTACTTTTTGTGAAGTAGTAATGTACTCTTTCCTGCTCTGATAAAGCATTGTTGCTTTTTATTCAATATGGACTCTTTCCTTTTCTCAGCAGTTCAAACTTGACATTACAGTCAAAGACTGCAGCTATATTGCATACTTCTATAGCAAATTAAAGTGAAAAAGTTTTCAGTATGGATTGTAGACACTTAATGATTGAATTAATGATTATTATCAAAATAATATAAAAGCATTCATTAAAGTATTTTCATGCCTCAATATTCTATTGTAGATCATACATTCGAGGGCAAAATGTCTACATGGATCCGATAACAAAGAAAGAGCTGGAAGATTCAAGGCAGAGGCAGTTAGAGCATCAGGTAGCTATACTACGTTGGTAATTATGAAATTTCTAATAGAAATTAGAATTTTATAGGTTTTGCTTTAAACAGAATACTTTCACAGATTTTAATGGCTATTTTTCTACATCATACAATCATCCAATGCCCTTGTATGCATGTTGAGGTTATATGCATATCTGCTGAATACAAGTACAGTGGGGACTCGTTATTACGATGTTCATTTGTCACGGTAAAATATCGTAATACCGAAGGCAACGTAATAAAAGTTCCCAATAAAATCCAGTAAAACATTGTTTTGAAAGCTTTTTGTTGTATTAGGAGGTGTATTTTTCTCCTTTTGTTTCCTTCTTCTGTTCAAATTCTTCATTAAAACACTATATACATATAATTTATTAATAACTTATCTTGAATAGATATCTTCATGATGCTATTTCTTCTATTTCCTTCATTTTAAAAGAAATGTGGACATTTTTTATAAAAACTTCGGCAATCTTCATTCATCTACCACCATTTCTTTTACTTTTACTTTCGTTTCTGTCTAGATAATGCATTCGTAAAATTTTCAATGTCTTCATATCGTTACTACATAAACAACAACAATACATCACTGGGCGGTTTTGGGTGTTCAATGAGCTTAGAGCTGCAGTGAACAACTGATGAAAGTGGGCAGTGTGATAGGCATATTCCTGGACAGGATTTGAGAACACACAAGCTCAATGTCAAAATAAATTTGAATTTTTAAATTACTGAACAGACTTCAATTAGGAGTTCAGCAATTATCGATTTGTATTTCTGCTGACACCTGTGAAGTAGTCCAAGCCACTATCCAAGCTGTTAGTGGAGTTCAAATTTTGCCAAAATTATGTTTGATACCCAAGCTGTCAATTCCCGCTGTTTAACTGCAAATGAAATAACACATTACGTATTTAACATACATGCATACGATTAAATGTAACCCTTTATTTAATAAATTAATTTTACTTATTAACCATAGTAAAAAAAAAAAAAATAATAAACTTTACAGAGATAGATAAACTAGAGACTACATTTATAAATAAACAGTTTAATTGTTTAACAATGGCTTTGGCACGTCTCCAATTCTGCTGACCTCGCTAGAACAGTCAAGGTGTGTGCAGTCAAGCGTCACTAATCACCTAACGGCCCTGCAAGTTAACACTCTGTCGAAGCACAGGTGTTTCAGTGTTTATTTAGTGTCTCCTTAAAGGGTACCTGCAGTGGGAAACGATATTTCTTTATTCAATTGTTCATAAAAAAATAGAACTATTCCAAAAATTTGATCAAAGTACGTCGTGTATTACTCGAGATATTGTGAAAAAACCCAAAATCACACCTGAACGGTTTACTAAAACGCGCACTTTTGCTACCCAGATCGCCGTGACGTCAGAACATGTACCTGCCATATTGAAGATAGAGGAGAGAAAGAAGGATATCGTAGCATTCAGCAGATTTTTTCGTGTTTTCAACATTATTAGATGGATTAAGTGTATATAGTGTTTTCAGTAGTGACGAGTTTTAGTTTTACCATGTAGGATTCCGTTTTTTTATTGTGTATATAGTGTGTAAAAAAGAAAAATGTTCGAGGACACTTCCACCACTGTTCGGGGGAGAAGATGTGTACAGTCGATCAACATTGAATAAACACGGGGTGAAAAAAAAATTATGGACAGAATTTTTATATTGTAATACTGAGTCCCGGCATTTTAGGACATCGTAATAAACAGTTCTATTTTGTATAGATTTATTAAGAAATGGTTTTGTGCTTTGAATTTACAACATAATAAGCGTTCTATCTTATAAAACCATCACAGTAATAACAAGTCTGCACGTACATTTAGTTTGACAGTTCAATCATGGTCACAGGAGCTGTGAAAATTATTTTTCCATATGATAAGGCTGCTGGGTGATTAAAAGGGAAGTAACTCTTGAGACTAATCGCAGTAAAATTATGTTTGATTCAGAGAGCTGTGATGGAGCAGGTTCAGGAGAAACAGAGACAGAAACAACTGGAGCGAGAACGAAAAATGGCAGAGGATGCAGAAGAAGAAAGAAAATTGCAGGCGGAGCGTGACCGCCTACAGCGACAGTTTGAAATGGAACAAAACAAGCTGAAGATGAGAGAGGTTTGTAAAATTTGTGACTACTCTACCGCTTTTAAATGCTAATTATGCCCCAGGTTTTAAACTTCCATATGAATTGTTTATGGTGTTGCATAATAAATTTGAACAAAAAAATTTAACTGGAAAAATTTTTTAATGGAAAAAATTAAATGAATGCATATTTTCTTGTCTATTTCATTGTAAATAATGATACATATAGTACCAAATGATAGGAAACAGTTGAATTGCATCAGAAAATAGAAGATCTTGATGATGAGGGAAAAAGTTAAAAATTGATAAAGAATAAAATTCAGTTGATCTGTGACTACTTCATTGTGGGTTGATCATTTATAATATCCTTAAACAGGTAAAAAGACAAGAGGAAGTGGAACGTCTAAAGGCTGCCATGGATGAGGCTCACGAGAAAGCCATGAGAGAAAAATACTCCAGGAAGATGCAGCACCTAGAACAGGGTGGCCATGACACCTCCCAACTCAAGGCCCATCTAGCGGGTAATTAGTGATACCAGATCTTAATCTAGTTAATTCATTACAGAGGAGTGACATTTTGAAATCTGTTTTTCACAAATATTCTTCAGAGTTTAGTAGTTTTCATCAGCTTTTAAGTTTTTCTAAACCATTTCACACACTTCAGTGATAAAATTTAATTCTTAAATACCCTACATGTAGTGTTTTGTGAAATGAAGATGATATATGTATTAAATGATGTTCATTCTAGCTGTGCTTGGTGAAGAGTTGACAGATAGAGGTACATTTATATGGTCTGCATGACTAGTGTATATCTGCATGATATTTACTAGTTTTGAAATGTTATAGTTACGTAGTATTTATACATACATGTATATACTGTAGCAGACCTTTGGGAGTTTCATAAATGAATGGTATCGATTCATTTTTGTGGTTGATTATGAGAAAGTTATGACCAGTTAGAGCATAGAAAGTCATTTACACTATTGCATGCTTTAAACAAACTTCAAAGTACATGTACTACAGTACTAATGTGGTGTACACCAGTGTACATTTACATAGTACTAGGTTTAGCATAGATTTATTGTGTATCATCTGTAACTCAACAAATGTACATACTAATCTATTACACGTAACATGTATCATGTAATATTTTTGGTTGTATTTATTTTCAATTTTAGGCTTTTTGCTAACTGTCTATGGAAATATATTGGGTTAATCAATTTCATACACATTCAGACAAAGCCAAGCCATCTATGAGACTGATCAACTCAAAATATTTCTGTAGACAGTCTACTCAGTAACAAATCCAATAAGTGACTTGTTTTCTCAGGACCACTAATATTTATATGTACACTGTAAGAAGTGAAAAAAATCATGATTAGTGGCAGCTATATTGCTGAAATATATCTTAAAGTCACATGTCATTTTTTAAACCAAGTGTGACATTCCAGTCCAAGGGAAAATAATACAAAATACACATAATTATATAATATTTATATACATATTGGGGATTTGCTATGTTCTTGATAGTGTTTGAACTTTGCATGAGAAATGCTTATTAGTTTGATGTAGGTTTTATGATTCATTGTTAAAAATTATTTTCCTGTTTGATTAGTAATTTAACTCAATCAAAGTACAGTTAAAGACCAGTAATGTAAAAACATCAAGAAATGAGATTTATAGCAAGACAATATTGGAAAGATGTAATATGTAAACCAATTCTATAAAAATGAGCTTATTGCTATATTAAAGGGAATAAAGGCCATTTTATGATTTGTAAGACTGTTAAAAAAGACAGTATATAAGAAAATTTGGGAATTTAAATCTGAAGTCTGTTAAAAGACTGAGTATCTACACTTATAGTATACATGTACATGAATTTGTTAGTTTTGTTCATTGAAGTATCTTGTATGAATGTGTTCTGTTATAGACGCGCCTACAAATCGCCAGGGTTATGAGACTTTGCGGAATGCCCAGTCTTTAGGTATAATCTGCATGGTTTGTTCCTCACTGTCTGATTTTGAGAGCACTACCTGTTAACTTATGAAGATTTACTTACACTGCATGCAAAGCAGTTGAAAGTCCTTGCTAAGTGATTGTCCCTAAAAATTAAATTTTAGTAACTCAAACGGCATTTTGTAAGATTTCTTTGTACATCTGCAGTTTGTTTACGTACCTGTATTTCTCTGCCATGAATGGGTAAATTACTGGCAATGTTGTTTATGAATGAATGATTGGATTTGCACAATGTGCCTCTTTTGTACAGTTCTCTCATTTGCACTGTTGTTTGAAGCTTTCCCTTGATTTCTTGATGACTTTCTTTAAAACAGCTAGCATATTAATCAAACTTATACAAATTAGAATTGAAAAATGAATGACTTATCATTCATTTCTTAAACTTTTTTTTTATTAATTTAGTAAAATAGCACAGACACTTTCTATCATATTATTTTTTCTTATCCAAGAAAAAGGTAGAGAATACCAGTAATTATTTTTTATCATTTACTGTAAACCAACTTTTATTCGGGTGCAAAAAATATTCGCGAGTTTCGTGACTTACTTTAACTCACAAATATTAATTGCCATGAACAATTTATTTTGCTTTGTATTTGTAGAGAATGTTTTTCAGTCGCGAAAATTTATTGTCACAAATCGATTTCAAACTGACAAATAGCGAATAAAAGATGACGTAAATAATAGCTGGTTTACAGTATCTTTTGATTGTATTGGTAAGAAAAAACATACTCTAAAGTGTCTGTGCTTAAAGAAAGATGCAAGATTTTTGACATTTTCTTTACTTTCAGCAAAAATTACCCCAAGAGGTGACCCCAACCATGTTGTTCCCACCCAAGTACCTGGTCTGGATCTGGAGTTATCTCCCCGTGCTATAGGCCCACCAACAGCACAGTATACACAAAAGGACTCTTACCATGAACCCCATTACGTAGAAAACCGGGTCCTGACCCCCAATAAATACAGACAACACGGCCACACCTCCGAGTTTGGCACTCAGACTGGTATGAATGCTCACTATCAGATGGACACTGATAGAGATGGTGTGTATAGAGTTATTCATTTGCATGTTGTTTCCAGTCTTATGGAGCACCCTTTGCTCCCATTCCTATCCCAAAAAATGATGGTTTCTACTCTTAACTCTATTTTATTTCTTTTATAAAATTAATTTCTCTTTTTAGGTTACTTGTTTTCTGTCTCTTATTAGTGAATTATTTTTATGGGTAATTTTTTTTTTTGAAAATGACAAGTAAAGTGTAAAATGCAAATATACTTATTCATAGTTTTCCATAACTTGGAAGATAATATAGACAACATGCAAATAGTAATTGGTTTTCCTTGTAAGGTCATTATATAATTTAAAGACATTGAAAACAGCTAGCACTAACATTTACATGTAGCATCACTTCAACACATAAGTTGCTTTAATGCGTTTTGTGTGAATTACTTTTATGCACTTAATTCTACCTGTTTTATCTTCATACACTTCTTCATTAGTCCTGTGTAGGTGAAAGGTGTATTTGTATTATTGTATAATTATAGAAGTATTTAGCCAGAATGATGTTTTAGCAAAATTGTCTTAGTAGTTCTTTAATTTCTATTTTATCAAACTGCAACATTCCTGGAAAGGTTTTAAGTATGTACATTGTATGGAACAATATACAAATTTTGTAAATACACTAATATGTAATGGAAACTAAGTATTTGAAAATCCTGTGCTATCAAATTAAAGTCCTTTTAGAAATGATAGTATCCATCATTTTCATTTAACTACCACATATAATTACAATGAGTAACACAATTTATTCTTGTTGCGTGGGCAGTTATTGAGTAATTGTGAGTGTGTCTTTTTGTTTTGTTTTTATATGTCCATTGCTAGATTCTATATGACTGCATGTGTAATGGAAGTTTACCCATGCATGATTCTTAAATAGTGAAAAATGTAAAAATTGAAGAAAAAAATATGCTTGAAGGAAAAATAACCTTATGCTCACTAACAGTTTTTTTTTCTTTTAATTGTAACAATTTTCAAACAATAGGGAGATAAAAGTGAAGTTCGAGAAAAGTTAGAATTTCATACTGGGCTAAATTTGAGATAAGTCAGAGCTGATGGTGAAAATGATTTATCAATATCACTTGTATCAGAGTTATCTCTGCTTATAGAGGGTCATTTCTTTGTAACTGACTGATTATAGAAGATAAATTTCTGTGTTTAGTTTGCAAGTGAAATTTGTAAATGGATCTGTATGTATGAGAAAGAATTGAAAGAAAAACAAGTATGAGAACAATAAATCAACTTGATATTGACGTACTGAAAAAATTAAAAAAAAAAAAAAAGAAGCTATATATAAACAGAAGACAAATAAAAAAAATAGAAGTTATTGATTTGCATTTACTTTTGTTTATTAGAAGATACTCCTTTGGAGTCGAGAAGAACCTTGGAGACCAAGAGAGAAGCTACAGATGTGGGCATCATGTACAAGTTAGTGAACGGTAAGAGAGTCCGAGTGAAGAGTGCTCCAAAAGAGGAACTACAGAAAAACCGAGAGCAGAGAGAAATTCCGAAAAAGAAAGCAGAGAAAAAGAAAGATAAAAAACTCTGGAATTACCAAAATAAAAATCTAAAGAAGCCAATCAAGCAGTCAGAGAAGGATCCCCTGTATCAGAAGAAGAAGGAAGAGAGTCGAGTAAGACGGCAACAAAGGGAACAGAGACTTCTGGAAATGGTGGAGAAAAATAGGGATATTATCCCCACAGAGAGACAGAACAGGACCCCAGGACATTCACGAGAACACTCCCCCTTTTCAGAGGGTGGCCGCACTCCTAGAAGTACAGTAAAGGAATACAGTGCTTATACTGTAAGGAGAACTAGGTCTCACTCCCCAGATAGGAGTGACTCTCGGACAGCCACTCGAACATTAGAAAGGACTGATTCTCCCCCAAACAGGAAATCCCCTGTCAGTCATCATTCTATCTCACCTGTTCCAGCTGGGAGACGGTCCCCACCTATTCCTGCTCTACGAAATCGAAACACAGATAGGAATTCAAATTATCTAGCGATAGACTATGATGCCTCAGGGATGGGAACTAGGGTAGTGAATAGTAAATATAATGATGGGGATCCACTGGAAATCCCTGTAGGAAATAGCGACTTTGTGCCATTTCTGAGGACTGTTGATATACTGGACCCTGCAAAGGCTTCATCGCCAATGCCACTCTCACGGGAGGCAACACAAGTGGCCAATGCCAGGAAAGCTTACATTAAGGGGATGAAGCCTGGTAACTATGGCAACAGGGTAGACACCTATCAGGACAGGATGAGGCTACCCAATGAGAGAAGGCAAAAAGTAAGAAAATATTGTGTATCAATCTGAGAAAAGTCCAAACTCAGCAAGGATGCTGAATTTGGCAATCTTTCTGTGTTTATAGTCCTGAGTCAAAGGCTCAAGTGAGCAAATCTGATAGTTGTTGAAAAGTGTCCAGCATCGGTCCATCTATTTTTCTGTGTGTCATCTGTAAACTTTTCATATTTCGACTTCTTCTCCAGAACCACTGGATTTAGTTCACCTGAGTCAAAGGCTCAACTGAGCTTTTCTGATAGTTGTTGAAAAGTGTCCAGCATTAGTCTATCTATTTGTGTGTCTTCTGTAAACTTTTCACATTTTGACTTCTTCTCCAGAACCACTTGCCAATTTCAACCAAACTTACATGTACCATTAAGCATCCTTTGGTGAAGGGGATTCAAGTTTATTCAAATGAAGAGCCACTCCCTTAATTAAGAATTAGTGAAAATTAATTGCATTATACAAAAATGTTCAAGAAGCACTGGACCAAAAAAGATGAAACTTATTACATAATGTAGATTCAGATGTGTTCAAATCATGACCCTGAGGGGTAGGGTGGGGCCACAATAGGTGATCAAAGTTTTACATAAGAATACAATGGAAAAAATCGATAAAAATCTTCTCAAGAACTGCGAAGCCATGATAAGTCATATTGATATGGAAGCATCCTCAGGTAGTGAAAAATTAACTTTGAACAAATTATGGCCCCTGGGGGATAGGGTGTGGCCACAAAAGGAGATAAAAGTTTTACAAAATCTGCTGATTGGCCTTCTGTTAAATATTCATGGTTTTCAGGCAATTTTCAGTATAGTAATTAGGAAAACAGCATAGAACAAAAACTGCAAAAAACTATAGACTTTTTGAGTTTTAAACCAGAAACTATTGATGACTTGGCTATTTGAGTTTTAAACCAGAAACTATTGATGACTTGGCTATTTGAGTTTTAAACCAGAAACTATTGATGGCTTGGCTATTTGAGTTTTAAACCAGAAACTATTGATGACTTGGCTATTTAAAGACTTTTCTCAAACTCTTATGTAGTATGCATTGAAAACTTAGAAACTGATTAACTAAGTGGTATGAAGATTTTTTATGTTCACACAAGTAATTAAATTAAATCAAAAGAGTAAATCCATTTTAAAAAGTAGTCACATCTTACAGTACATAATAATTTAAGTGATAGAAATAAAATAATCTACGGTATTGGATATAATGGGGCTGCAGGGGTAATACGTTGTTGATCAAAATTAACCAATTTTTAGTTTATGCTTGCACATGTGAGGTAAATTTATTTGTACCCCTTTCAGGACCCCATCCTGAACCCCTCACTAGTCACGGATCACCCGACACAAAGACAGGATGCCATCTTACAACAGCTCTCTACCATGAGAGAGGTCAGTTACCTCAACATTTCACACGTTTTGTTAAATGGAAAAAATGATTCTGTAAAAACAGTACTAAAACATGTCATCAGTCCCCATTTCATTCAATTTTGCTATAAAAAAATATTTTATACCCAAATTGCAATGAACATTTAGTTATGTTAGTTGTTATTTGCTGAGAATATTAATTTCAAAATTGTACGAGAGAATTCTTTCAAAAGATTCTATCATTAGCATTAAATGACAGAGAATCCTCCTTGTTTTGACAGAATCTGATGCAGAGGCAGCGAGAGTTAGAGACCTTCTCTCCCACGGATTTAGAATAAGGCTACTTCAACCCCGACATTTTATAGAACAGTTTGAATTTTAAAGGGAGACTCCATTGTTATATTGTATCTCTATTCTGTATCTCCATCAGAGATGAAGTATCCTGGGAAGATGGGGTTACTTCATATGTAGCTTTACTTTGTTAATTATCAGCAAGATCTGTTTGTATGACATGAGTGCAGTTTTTGGATCGCTCTTGCCAGCTATAGCTACGTACATTGTATCACAGTATACATGTACTTCTATTAATTTTTCAGCATATTTTTAAATTATGGATATTTTTTGTGCCAAATTTAAGATATTATATGAAAGTATATGGTGCCACTTACTGTAAAAAATTATAACAGAATTTTCATAACATTTTTTCATGAATTTGTATGACTTGAGGTTTTATTATCCATGTTGGGAATTATATCTAGTTGATTCTCGATAAGGTATATATCATAATGAGAATTTGCACATAATATTTTTTCCCAGTATGAAAGTGTCATGAGAACTTAACTGTTCATAAATACTTAAAAATGAGGAAATGACAGAAATACACATCAGTGTATGTAAAAAAAGAAGAACCCAGTGTATTGTAACTAAAGTAGGTCAAACATATAAATACCATTCCTTTTAGATTTATTTCTTATTCTGTAGGTTTATAATAGCATAAGTAACAGTTTTTGCATATGGTTTCTAGCAACACAATTCCAGCATATTATAAAAGATAGTATAACAATTTCTGTGTTGCTAATTTTCATATATTTCTGTCCAGTTGTAGTAAAAGAACTGGAATATCAACATAGAGTGTTTACATAATGTATCTCTGCGTGCAGAAATTGGGTCTTGTGGCACAAATTTGATGCTTGGACAGTGTTTCTAATTTCAGAATGTTTTGAAAGAAAAAAATGTATGCATTAGAATATTTAATGTGGAATTTGTTGTAGATGTACTGAAAGGCACTTTCTTTCTAGTGACCTACAGCATTTTGTTTCGCAACAAGAAAAACTATGAAGGCCTTCTTCAGAATAGGAAAAACTTGTAAAAATTTTAGCTATGGATGTGTAATTTCCATATCACTATGTAAGTTATGATGAATTAATAATATAAAAAATTATATTTACAAAATATAGAGATGATTAAAGAGTACAAGTGAAGTATATATGATACACTATATTGTTATGTTTATTTATATGATAAATTACATTGTTATGTTATTTACAAACTTGTAACAGATTCAGAGGACCTCTTATTGACTTTCTGATATGTGGACATTTTTCAGATTCTTTAACAGTAGACTAATAATTAACATTTATCAAACTTATTTTGATATCTTTATGGAATTCAATCAATATGAAAAAGGACAACAATAATTTAAGATATAACTGTAGTAGAACCGTCTGCTAAAGCTTTGTCCAAAAGATATAAGCGATATGTACCAATCAATGCAAAACTGACCTTTTAAAACAACGTTTCTCTGGGACTTTTTCTAAAGGAGCAGACAGTTATTTGGAAGTGAGAAAATAGCGAGGAAAGATGGAAAAAAGGGGAAAGGAGGGAGAAAAGTTTGGGAAGAAGGAGGGGAGGGAGGGAGAAGGGCATTCAAATTCAGATATACACATGTACTTAAACCACATTGAGCCAAACTATTTTCGATGTTCAGAAAAAGCAGCTGAACCAAAAGAAGTTGATGTGTAGAATTGCACTCTAAGATTTGAACTCTCGATAATTTTAAAACTGAAGTTTATACTTTTTACAGAAAGCGGTAGGTTTTGCGCTCAAATACATGAGGACAGATAAATACATGCACTATAGTTTAGTGATACGTGTGGAAGAAATGAGCATAACAATTGTACATGTGTTTCTGGACTTTTTGGCGTTGTGTGTTGTCCTTTCTAAATATATTGGTTTCATTTTGTTAAATATTTTAAATATTTTGAAAATCACGCTGAATGCCTATAGTTCAATGGACTTGGGTTTCAGTCCTACGCATGACCTCAGTGATTTAAAATTATTTACGGTATATTGCTTTTAATAAATGATTCAAATTTTATTAGTTACGGTCGATTGTTCCATTCTATGCTATTATATACGGAAGTTATTGTAGTAGATTTAAAAAAATCACGGAAATCTGAAACATAATATAATGACTTTTCAAATTCTTAAGTACATATACATGGATTTGCGAGTTTTTACTGTTGTTCTTTCTGACATATTTAATTTCTTAAATAAAATCAGCAACATTAAGACGTCATGTTGCAGATTTTATTTAAGAAATTAGATAGGTCAGAAAGGACATTATGTTTGATAGAGATACACCGAGTCTGTATATTTCATGTCGGCATGGTCAGTACCTTAATCATGTTAATTGTCTAGAGTTAGAGAGAGAGAAAAAAATATCAGCAATTAAATGCTATGCCATGTATATTCTGATTGGAAGTCTTGACATGCACTTTAAGCCTTTATCTGACTTGTTTAGGAATTAAGGCGTGTTTTGCCCATAAAGAAAATAAATACAAAAGGAAGTTTAAAAGGTGTGTCATGACCAGATATGTTGACAGCAGCATTAGTAAAACAAATGTAAAATGAAGTTAATTATCTCAGGTACGAGCGAACGTAAAAACATTGTCAAACAAAAAATAAAATTCCAAAATAAACTTTGCAACCGAATATTTGTCATTGAAATCCATGCATGACATTTATATAGAATGTGTTGTAAACATTTAAATTTTGCATTACATCGGTGAATGTGCGACAAACCATGTGAACTTTATTCAGACTGTTTAATTCGAAACAACTGACCTATATAATAAATATATTTTAAATTGTGTGATATAACCTGAGTACATAAGGGGGTAATCCAGGACAGTAGACATACTCGTGGTATTTTGTATTTTGGCAGTCACATCATTGCACCCATACTCTGCATGAATTTGATACAGAAGTATCATACTGCACTAACCTCAGAATCAATCTTGGGGATAGTAACCCCAGCATGAATCACTGAGAAAGCACAGATAGACAAAATCGTAAACACGTGGTCTATAAATAAGACCCGCCCCCGCGACCACCTGTGTTATATTTATTTACCGCGTATACTCTATTTACCCCATTCAGTTAAATAGTATATATCTATACATTGTCTGTAGCCGATAGAAATTAACACGTATATTCTGAACAAAGGCAGCAATCTCTAGAGGGAAGTTTTGTCAAAAACGTTTTCCAATACTTTATCATTCCGTCCGTATTGAATCGATCTGCTTCATTTTACTTTTGTAACGTATAGTGGTTAATGCACAAAATCCAGTCAACATGAAGGGTTTATATGTACCTCTACTTCTTCTTATTCTTGTGGCCTTGGAACTTATTGTGACAGATGGTGAGTTATAGTTCTCTTTCATTTCTAAGGTCTTTGCTATTTAAAATAAAAAAAAAAAATTGGTTGAATTCCTCAGTTCTAAATTAGTAAAAGGCAGCTATATCTGTATATATTAACATGATTTTTTTTCTTTCTTTCTTTTTTTTTTTTAACATCAGTCTTATCATCTTGTATTGGAGACTATTTTTGCTTCATCTTTTCCAAATCTTTGCCCATATTTAACTTATTTTAAAAGGCTTATCATTGGAAAGATAATTTTTCTTTCTTTGTGACTCGATTCGTCAAGTGAAAGTTTCTGAATTCCCGGATCTAGTTTCGTTATAAGGTGAACGATTTTAGGACTAGGATTCTTGTAGAAGAACTGCATGATAATGTCGATCTCTCGATGTAATCTCTCTAAAAAAAAAAATCTTTTTACGTATGTTGTATATATATGAGATTGACAAGGTTGCCTTGTTGTATCCGAAAGTTTGAGTACACCAGGGTGGCAGAACAATTAATTAAAAAATAACATTAGGCTCGGAAAAGAGAAGTAAAATATCGCACAGTGAGTGTTTATTTGGGAAAATCTATAGCGTTTAGTCTGAACGAATAAGATATCTCCAGCATCAAAGAAAAGAGGGCATCTGTGATTCCATTGTTTGTATGACTCAGACGGTTCTATTGTTCCTAGAAATCGGCCGCACACCCAGTCTTACGTCACACACCCCGTCTTACGTCAATCACACGGACAGTCTGGGAAACTATTTTCTTCTTTTTGGCGGAAAATCATATTAGCTAATCCAACGAGTACAGAAGCACTCATTGGGAATTTACCAGAAAAGTATCGCAGAAATTTTGCCAAAATTTAGGTGAAAGTAATATGCAGAATTACCCAGAAACGTCTGGTTGTTAAGTTTGTCATATTTATGATCAAGTTGTCAAACATTTCAAAAAGGCCGATCGAGTTTTAGTGTGTTTGCAAAATTTCGACAGCCTTTGGCAGAAGTAAATCTCTAAGACCTCTGATTTCTGACGTGAAATCGATCGTTGTTCTTGGCGGGACATTAAGCGCTATTATCTGAGATCATGAGAATAAGTCTCCAGAGGTCGATTTCTGGTAATTGTCGAAAATTGCGCTAACTGCTAGAGATATTCCCAAGCCATTTGTAGTCGTTTAGGACCGTAGGAAAACATTCGTCATACTCTTAAGTATATTCTTAAACTGTGCACGCGATTTAATTGTCATATCTATGTCAGTTCGTTCGATGTTGGTAACAAATTAACAATTTTTTGTTGTTGATTTTTTTTCTTTAGAAATAGAGAGCAGCTTTGGCTTTCAATTGTTTTATTTAATACTAATGTGTGTAAAAATTTCAAATACATAATGAAACTACAAAGTATATCTTCAAAATATAAAAAATAATCACAAATTAAAGTCATGATAAATAGAAATATAACAACATTTTACCGTGTACTAAAGCTATGGACAAGCATGTTTGAATAAGTAAAATTTTAAAAGTAAAAAAAAAAGCGTTATAGTGTTAGTTAAAAAATATTTTAAAATTCAAATTTAGATATTTTGCTTTGCAGCACAATTTACATGTTTCCGGAAATACAGAGAAAAGCGAGGAAAAGAATTTTGTAAAGGACCACTGAAAAACAGGAGGAAATTCTCTACACCAGAAAAATGCTGCGCCAAAAAGGGCAAAGGATTCGCCGTCTCGGTGGTAATTAAAAAATTCATCTCATTGTTTTTGGAAGACTTTCTCTCTCTTTGGTAAGGTTCCATTCTAATTTGAATAAAGCATGTGGCACGTTTCAATCTTACATTGAAAATTAAATATCTTCGAGATATCTGAAGTATTATACGTCATACATTATAAAGTGTAATATTTAACATGCAGCAAATTTTGAATTTAATAGGTAAAAGCTGGCGGGAGAAATAAATATCAGTGTACACCTTGTAGTGATTTACTAAAGACAACACCAGCCCCGACACTACCACCCACACCTGCCATCACTACAGGTAAGTAACGAGATTCTTAGTCTGTACCATGCCTGATACTTCCACCCATACCCGCCATCACCACAGGTAAATGTCTAGATGTTTAGTCTGTACTAGCCCGCAGACGCACCATCATCACATGTTACTCTGTCCACAGTTTTTTTACGATATTGCTAAAACACAAGGAACAGAATGTTAAGCCATAAAGTTTCAAATAGGACTATTTTGAAGATCGGCATGGGTTTTTGATATTCGTATCAGGCTGTCAGCTTCTCAGTTGCTGCTGAACAATACAGGAGTGCCAGAATGTCTGTTGTAATTCACTGCTCTGTGTGACCTTGTATGTACTCTTTGCATCGTCTAGACCTTGGAGGTTACTCGGTATACATGTATGAGGCACATTTTGTGTGCAACTGCATCCAAAAATAATGTTATTAACTTAACAACTTAAGAAATGAATTTAATGAAAAAAAGACGAAATTTAATACCAGAAAAATTCCATAAAGCCAGGGGTTATAAAATGTTCACATTCACACAGTCTTGTGTGTCAATAGAATTTTTTCACCCAGTTTTTTGTGTATAACTGATGTAAATAAATGTGTTTGTAATTTGGTTTGCTAATGTTAAACCTTTTACAAACAACGTTCGAATCTCATGGTCAGGCCCGTAAGGAAGCAATTTCAATTGTGTGTAAGGGGAGGGAGACAACCAAATATTTTTACTTCCAAATAAAAATTCCTTGACAAGTCAATAAAGTCATCAGACGTAATTATTGAGGGGGCACATTCATAAAGTGTTTTTTTCTTTAGTATACTATTCACATTGGAAAAGTTATTGCCCCCCATCTCTTTCTCTCCCTCTACCCCCAGGTTCCTAGGGGCATGAAGATGCTTGTGAAGGGTTTGACCACCTAGGTAGTACATTTGTACATACATAATACTTCACACAAAAATTAGATTTTTTTTTATTATTTTGTCATTCGTTTTATGATGCTTTATGTTGTGCTCCTTGTCATCATTAGACTGGTAGAACCAGATATGTATATTGCCAGAGATATTTTCTTGTAGACGAACGTCCCAAAATTTCTTTAACGAATGTTTGAGAAGTATATATAAATAAATCTGAATGTTTCTGCTGAGTATTTTTTTTTCAGTAATAAATTCAAGCATTCTTAATAATGTTTGATTTGGCTTTGTGCTTTATTTTCACGATTGAATTAAGCAACGCTGATATTTCATCAATACCTCATTGTCTCAGAACATTTTTTTCTGGGGAAAGTGACTTGTATTTGAGGAAGCAAATAAATTGGATAAATTCAGTATCTACACTTTTATACGAAGTCCGAAAAATATTAGCAGTAGTATATAGAGGATTCTTTTCTAAAATTTCTGGAAAAGATCAGTAAACAACCGTAGTTCTGCTAATAAAATGATTTTTTTTTATCTGAAAATCAATAGACCCTAAGCAATAATTTTTTTCCACAATACTTTTGCAGAACTGCCAGAGTGGGGCCGATGGAACCCCTGTAGCGTGACGTGCGGTTACGGATGGCGGAACAGATACCGGAAGTGCGATGACTGTGATAAGAATCACTTTAACTATGTCCAATCCGAGCCCTGCCTGGATAACTTCTACTGCCCAAGTAAGTTACTCACCCTAACTATGTCCAATCCAAGCCCTGCCTAGATAACTTCTACTGCCCAAGTAATAACACCAAAAACACAATACGCACTAAAGGAAAAGACAAAGTGATATTCAAAATTATTGTACTGTCGTCAAGAAACGAGGTGGAAACACTCATTAGGGACAACCTATGATCAATTTGTGTCAAGTTTATCTCTTTGAGAATATTCGTAAGATTCTAAAGGTAAAAGCAAAGAAGGAAGATAAATAATGTCTTTCAGTATTTTAGTATATTATATATTGTTTCAACCTCCATTAGCCGCAAGCAAATGAATATGTTCGTAAAAAAACACAAACAGACGGTTTGACGCTTGTCTTCCGCCGAAACAATCTGATGCACGCAATAATGGCTTTGAACATGGATTTGCAACTGTTACATGGAGTTTTATTGTAGACGAAACAATTTTTTCTTTCTCTCATATCACATCCTTCTGAAATGCCCAATTATCTTTGACATTTTATTGCTCGTTGTGTAATAGAAAACATGCAATATATATTAGATCTATTAGCCATAATGACCTTGAACTTTTACAGTGGATGGTAATTGGGGGAATTGGATGGGGTGGAGTCAATGCTCAGCTGACTGCGGGGGCGGTACGCGTACCAGGGTTCGGCGTTGTAACTATCCACCACCAACACATGGCGGAAAAAACTGTCCCGGCCCGGAGGTGAAGGAGGAGCCGTGTAACGAGGACCCCTGCCAAGGTAACCCCCCCCCCCCAAATGCTTACTTATCTGGAATAGTGGTTCAATATTTAGCATAATATTCGGATACTACAATTCCAGGTGCTTTATTCAACAAGGATACATTGGCATATTTAAAGTCACGAAGTACATCGTATTCTGATTGATATATGATATAGTTAAAGAAAATGAGAAAATGACGACATACATGTACTAGATAAAGAAAATAAGATATAGTTAACAAAAATAACAATATAGTTAAAGAAAACAATGCTCAAGTAAAAGAAAACAATGGCAAAGAATGAGAAAAATGCAATATATCATAGTACATGTATTGGCTTGAAGTAATTGATCAGATGCTAGAGATCCTCATTGATAATTAATTATAAAAATCTATATGTAGTGTCTGATGGAATTCCCATCGGTATTAATTGTACTTTTTTAGCCGATTAGTTTTTATATTTTTATGAAGCAGAATTTATTCAAAATTTCTATATGTGAGGAAAACTCCTGCTGTGATCTTCAATTCGACATTAAGATATATCAAAACAATTGTTACTTTCATTAATTTATATGTCAACTTTATATTTCCCAGTGAACTAGAAAAAGAAGACACCATAGTATGCCACATTTTTTTGTTTGGATGTTTTACTGAATATAGGCCTTAATGGCAAACTAGCAACTAAACAAATATATGACAAACATGATAACTTCAATCCTGCCAGTGTCAGCTTCCCCTACCCAAACATTATACTGACTTAAAAGTATTTGACAAGCGGGACAACTTCCAACTTCTTCATTGTCAACTTCCCCTACCTAAACATTATGCTGACCATAGATGTTTTAAAATTGCAAACTAACAACTAAACTCATGGCAAATGGGACAACTCTAACTTTTCCTTTGTCAGCTTGTTATATTCCAGTATCCTCTTGCATATGGTGTTTATGTCTCCCAGCTGATTCAGTACGCAAGAATATGTTCTGAGTATAATAGATTTTCAAACCGAGGCAGGCTACTGACAACTAAATTGATGTCACAGGGATTTCTACAATGTCATTAAAAGTCAGCATTTTGCAAATTCTTTGGTCGCCATACCTATTCTTGGGTCGTATTTTGGCTGGCATGTTTCATATCAATTGGCCACTTTTTGACGAGCTTAAGTTCAATTTATTCATTAAAACCATACTTGTAGTGATACACAAGGAACATAAAATATTTAGACATACATGTATCTCAAATTAGACTAAGGATAACTTCAACTGACTGATCAATATAGAGAACTCCCGGCGGGTGTAACCGATCGGCAGTGGATACTTATATTTCTTAAGCACCTGAACTCATCTCTGTTCTTTCCAAGGGTTCGTGTTCTTGTCCTGTTCACGTTTCGTTTTGTTTACAGGATCTATGAGATTGTTCAAAGTTCTTCAACATTGCTTTTTTTTTTTATACATGTACTATGCAAATTTTTTTATGGTCATGCGTAATTGGGAATGCATACATGTATGCTCGAATGGAGAGATGTTTTCACTGCTTTGCAAAAGATATAAAAGCAACTATTTTGAGACTTCCTGGTAAATTGTATTTATTTTCTGAAAGTTTTGATCTTTTTTTATGCATGTACATATGTCCATGCAGTTTGAAAGTAACTAAAATATGAACAGTTCTGAAATAAAAGCATAGCTAGAAGTAGAATGGTTTAATAAAAATTCATTAATTGCAAGCATTTTACAAGATACATTTGTATCCATATTCCAATTATAGTTGACGGAAATTGGGGAGCTTGGTCACAATTCACTCTCTGTAGCGCCACCTGTGGATCAGGGACCATGGTGAGAACAAGGAAGTGCGATAACCCGCCAGCTCAGTTTGGAGGAAAAGAGTGTAAAGGGGTGCCATACCAGGAAAAACGCTGTAAAAACAGAAACTGTCCGTGTAAGGAAACAAAGTGTTTGAAAATAATTAATTTCTAATTGCAGGCAAAAATCTAGTTTATGTTTATAATCTCATTAAATTCATTCACATTTCCAAGAATTGTGCATGATGATTGGTTTTCCCCTTGTGGAATTGATTTAATGCCCTAAATAAGTATATTACATTTTTAAAATAAACCATCCCATATTTATTTATTTTATGTGAGCTTACATTAATTCATATTATTCAGTGCACGGAGGATGGTCTCTATGGGGGGCTTGGAGTGAATGCTCGGTTACATGTGACACAGGCGTGGTGACGCGTACACGCACGTGCGACAGTCCGCGTCCTTTGTTTGGCGGGCGAGAATGTGATGGATCAGCAACTGATACCAGGGAATGTACAGCAAACAAACAATGCCCAGGTACAACACTGCTCATTTGATAACTTATTCTAGTTCAATATGCACTGAGTTGGTAAAATATACTATGGACACCCACTCTGTACTAGATTCATTACACATATATACTAGTAATTTTTACCAAACATTGTTGAAAATACTATTAGTACAAAATTTGTCAATTCTGGTGTTTTCCAGTACATGGCGGTTGGACGTCGTGGACAACACAAGGCAGATGTAACGCACCGCGATGTGAAAGTGGGACTTCTATCCGCTCGCGCAGCTGTACGAATCCCAGACCACGGCATGGCGGCCGTCCGTGTGTTGGTCGGTCCTACAGCCGGGAACCGTGTGTGAACGACGAGAATTGCCCGAGTAAGCCCTGAGTGTTGTATTTGGTGTTGTACTTTTTGTTATATCGTGGTGCAGAGAAGATCAGTCCACAAACTGTTGTTATTTTTTTAGTTTTATTTTCTAACTTTTGTATGATTGTTGTTTGCTTTTGTTGTTATTTTCAGAATAAATCATTTTTATTGACGTATTACTTATTATCTTGTAATTATCCCGTTCCTTTCCTACCACTGATTGAATTATTGTGTTACGATGTTGTAAATTAATTGACACTATGAATTTTTGCTACTGCTTATTTAGGATACTGTTTGACTAAAAGTTCCTCAATGAATGTCGTCGAATTTATCGAAGCAGTTATTTAATTGTGAAATCACGCATTTGAAATGTTTAATTTTTCTGCCCGATAATTTTACACGCAGGAAAATATTGAACAGCAAACATTGAGGGGAACACGTCGAATCTGACAAGATAACCGTCAAATTTGAGCAGCAAACGCAAGTGCTGATATGGGGCCATTCGGGCTGATATGACAAATAATACGGGTTTTAGTATGTAATATAATTCTATAAAGAACAAGGTTCACTGAGGACCTGTATTGGCCCTGTGAATTTCTGAAGAAAATCAAATCCATGTATTATGACGTCACGAATTGCTTCATTATCCTCAAATCCTGAAAATTTCTTTAAAAATGGCCAAAAGTTTAAGCTGTTTTTCATATTTGCATAGACCTAAATCTCCGATCCAAAATGTTCAATTATATAATCAAGGAACTGTTTCAAAAGATCATAATACATGTTTTATTTTTGGGATCGAGGGTGGGCTCCTATTATAATTCTTTGCTGACGGTATTCAAGTACACCAATTTTCTTTAAATTTCAAGAATTTTGCAATCTCACAAAGCCTTAAAGTTTTTTAATATTTGGACTTTCAGAGGAAACTTTTAATAGGAAATGAAAGCAGTAAGTCGATCTCTACTTTATATTGATGCTTGAAATATGACAATGGGACTTGATCAGTTAATTAGTATATAGACAGGGCAATTTTATGAATAAAGTGAACTCATTATTCATTATACTAATTATACTAACTCATTATTTTCTGATATATATTTTAAATGGAAGTAAAGGGATGTAGTAACATCGGCGATTTTAATGATTGATTGTATGATGTTTAAAGTCTCGTTCGAGATTATTCACTCATATAGAGACGTCATCACATACCAGTGAGGGACTTCAAATGTAAACCTTTACTCGGCACTCAGGGGTCATTGAGCAGTGAGGAATGTTTATCGTCCCAACGCTGCCGTGACAAGACCTCAGTTGTTAAGGTCTCATCCGAAAGACCCGCAACGTTCACTTCAAATTGCTGAACGCTTGGCGATGGAATAGTTAACGTTGCTACTGCTCTCTCCCGCCGAGCTATCACCGTTAGACATGCCACCGAAAAAGACTCGCTGAGATCAATCATCCGGCCCCATTGCAGAGTCAACCAAATAAAATCTAAATGAAAATTATGAGGAAGGCGTAATAGATGGCATTCATGTCTTTTTTTTCTTCAATTTCATTGCCTGAAGATGAAGAAGGCTTGAATTCTCTCTACTACCTCTTCAGCTGTATTGACGCGACTTTAGAAAAGGAGTTACATCTGTTTCATATTTGGATATTTTACTAGAAAAAACATTAATGTCAAACTAAGAACAAAACTTTATGATAAACGTGATGACTTGAACTTTTCTATCGTCAACTTCTCTTCTTTATGTAGCAATATACCATTATTGCCTGTATATGGAGTTTATGTTTCCCAGTTGATTCATTACTCAAGAGCATGCTCTACATATGAACAGTTTCTAAAACGAGGCAAGCTGTTGACAAATAAGTTGATGATACAAGGATATCAACAGTCTCGTTCAAAGTACATATGTATGTCACTCCTGACATAAGTTATATCAATGAAGTATATCTCAAATAACTACACACATATATATACAATATGACAATATATATACATAAAATATGACTCAACCCCCCCCCCCCCCCCCAAAAAAAAGGGGTTCAGTGTGCACCTTAGGTACGATTAACTTGATCTTTTTGCACTTTAATTTTTAGGTCAATCACTTTAACCTTAGTCATATTTCACCAGATGTAATCATTGCAATAAATATATAAATAGTTTGAATTATATTTATTTTTGAAAAAATCCTGCAAATTAATGTGCATAAATTATTGTGTGACTCTTTGCACTAAAAATTGCGTATTTGGGGTATTAAAAATCTAGACAGCCAATTGAATATTTTCTTGCATCAAGCGTTTTATGACTTTCGTGTTGATCGGTTGAAATTATGGTGTAGCTTGAAATAATAAAAGAAAAAGTTGGGACCAGTGATGTAAATTTTGAGACATTGGTCAAAATATGCAAATTTCAGGCAAAAACAATGTAAATGTTATCTTGACTTCTTCAATATATCTTCTTTTTTTTTGGCAAAGTGTGTTGAGTGAATGTGTAAAATTTGTTCTAAATATATTAATTGAAACCTACATTTGATATTACTAGCATATAATAACGAAAACAATTCTCTGAGTAAAAATATGTAGGGCAAGGTACTAAATGAAACAAATGAACACGTATAGATGTGAAGAATTTTCTTCTATATATCTTTCCACCATAAGAAAGAGTCCCCCATAAATCTTGTTTCTTTACGGTTTTATGAGCATTTTTGAAATTGAATATTCTATAATTTGCATTATTTACCTTAAATTTGCTATTAAAATTGAATAGAAATAATAACTATGAAGGTTCCGACAAACCTTTACTAAAAATCTGACAAGTGACTTACTTTAAAGTCAACATTTCACAAATTCTGTGGTCGATACAAAGACACAGTATATGATAAAGAATTATATTGCATACTAATATCCATATCATATGTCATAACAGCAAATACAATCTATCGTGAAGTCGAATATTGACTGGCATTTTTCATACATATTTTAGGCCATTATTTTCACACTGAATTGTCTACGGATTTTCCGTTTATCATGGTAAGGAGCTCATGGCGGGTAGTCGACACCGGGATGCTCAATATTCCTCCATACATGGCACCAGATCCCACTTGTGATGTTTTAAGTGGTCCATGTTTGCTCTGCTCCCAATTTGTATTGTTCCAATGGACTTTTGAGCTTGATTACTGTTCGTTATCTTCAAATTTCATTGCTCATTAGCGAAGAACCAAAAAAAGAAATGACGTGGTGGTTTGGTTGAAGTGCCATTATCTTATTTAAAAAGTAGGGATTATAAGGAAATTCTTAAAAATCTTCTTTATGGAAGAACAGCTTTTTCACCAAGTCCACTGGGTTTTTGCTTCGTCTACCACAACGATGTCGTTACATCACAGTTCAGCAACGAATTACACGGTAGAACAACAAGTTTTACCAGTCTTACCAGTCTTTTCAATACTATCACGACCACTCGGAACACAGGATTGTTTTGAGCTGCATCAAAACAGCCATGAAGGTTGCCGGATTTCACCGGCTTTTGCCGATTAGTTAGGATATACCTATGATCCATCAGATTTCAACACGATCAATTCGACGTTTTCTGACGATTAGGTATCTAAGGCTAGATCCTTAGTGGTCGCGAACCAAATTGGGACAGTGTGATGGGAGCTTAACATCACTAGTTGCACACATAAGTTATGTAGTAAAATTACCGTTAATGATTTATTCAGTGCTTATTAGAATTATTATATTATTGTTGATTTAAATTAATTCTTTTGTTGATCACTGAATTGAATGTTTTCTACTTTTGTCCTATGATTCAGGATAAAGGAGCTATAATTGCTTTCTGTGATGTACAATATTTCTTGATATAAGTATTTTACTGCACCTATATCAAGGTAGCACTGAGCCACAAATGAGAAAGTGTGAAGAAAACGAACAGTGGCCGATCTCAAAAAATTCAAACAATACAAATCTATGAACAGGGCATAGACACGGACCCCTGGAAAATCCAGAGGTCTGATCAGGTGTCTAGGAGGAGTAAGCATTCCCTTTTGACCGATCACACCTGTCGTGAGCCCTATGTATTGATCAAGTAGACGGAACATTTCGTAGTCAAATTTAGTATAAAAACGAAGGTCTAACAATTGGTAGGGGACAAGTCAGCCAAATACAACCCAGTGATATGTTATATTTGCTTATAAGGTCATTATAACGACCATAGAATTTACATATGCTGACTTTAAATGAGGTTGTTGAAATCCCTATAACCTCAACATCTGTGTGAGTAGACTGCCTCGGTTTAAAAACTGATCATACTCAGAGCAAATAGGTAGTACGTCTTTGCTATCCACACAGGTCCCAATTGGATACCTTATGGTAAAATCATTTATGTAACAAAGAAACTCTACCTCCTGATCTAGATGTGGATACAGTCTGTCACAATATGCTATCAAGATGTTAGCAGTGATGTCTGTAACAAAAATATAGGTACTCTATATATTCTTTGGGTAATGACCACTATATTGAAATATGAAGTTTCATAATTCTTATTAACTCCATTTCCTCAAGGACCGATAGTCGGCCACAAATGCTTCTATCTTTTTTTCTCGCATTTTTTTGGAAAAGCAGAACATAAATTTATGTTATCCATCATTTGCTTTTCTTTGGAACAACATGTGACAGCTGATGATAATTGTCTATGTTGGAAAGTAGGTCACCAGAGAAAGTGCATGTACTGCATATTTGTAAAGTTCCTACCATTGTAATTTGAATATTATCTGTATCATTACACAGGTACATTAAAAAAACTTCTCACCAAAATATTAACGCTGCAGTGAAGGAAGAACTTCAGCAATACTCTGCAGCACATATTCCAGAAGTGGTCAATCAAATGTGAATGCTAAATGTGACTCCAAAGAACTTTGAATTTGAAATTACAAAATATTTTCAAAATATTATCATTTAGGCATCAAAACGTATAAATTTGCAACACTTTATACAACTATTTCCCACGGTAAATTAAAGAAATTGTTTTTTGACATCTGTTTCTTCAATAAAAATGGAACTCGGAAATTTTCATATCTTTTGATAAGTCATCTATAAATCTACTTTGTTAAAAATCCTTCTGATTCTACACACAAACATATGAAGTTGATATCAAAAAGATGTTTAAGTTTCTCATTGGGGATATCTACTTAGTGTTTGGAGATCAAATCTTTCAACAAAATGTTGGAATTCCCATAGGTTTAATTGAGCTTCTTTATTAGCAGGCCTATTTTTTGATTTTGAGAAGCAGAGTTTATTTAAAAACTTCTACATGATAAGAAGTCTCTAGGTATGCCATTTAATTCGACATTAAGATATATCGATGACGTTTTAGCAATTGACAAAAATCATTTTTATTCAAAGGTTGATCCGATATATCCCACGGAACTCTGAAAAATGTAGAAAGTACAATGTCTGACACGTATGTTTAATATTTGGATTTTTTAATTGAAAAAGACATTAACATCAAACTAAGAACTAAACGTCATGCTAAACTTGACTTTTCTATTCATAAAATTCCCCTGTTTGTGTAGCAATAAACCATTATCACCTGCATATGGTGTTTTTGTCTTCTAGTTGATTCGATACGGAAGAGCATGTTCTACGAACTGACAATTTTCAAACCAAAGTAGGCTATGGATAAATAAGTTGACGACACAAGCATATTAACGATCTCATTTAAAATCAGCATTTTGCAAATTCTATGGGCAGTGAAATTACCTTGTTTGCAAACAAGACCTGTTGATAATTCGAACGTTAACTGACGCTTTTTTAAAAAAAAAATTGTTTGGCCATTATTTTTATACTGAATTGTTTACGGATTACTCCATTTGCCCGACCAAGAGGGCTCAAAGCAGGTTTGGCCGGTAGAGAGTGTTCATGGGTCCGTGCTTGCTCTGCTCTCAATTTGTATTGTTTGACTTTTGAGCATGATTACTGTTCCCTATTTTCACATTTGATATGTCGCAATTCTAGCTGTGCAAGGAGCAGTATTGTTTATAGAGAGGGAACCTCTTAAAGGAAGTCTGATCTCCCATGGAATTGTTTTAGATTTTCAGGTTTAAAAGCAGATGCTACGGAACCGTCTTAGTGTATAAAATATGGAGATAACGAACAGTATTCAAGCCCAAAACAATACAAATCAGGAGCAGAGCAAACACTCCGTGTGTTCCTTGTCATGATGGGGAGAAATCTGTAGACGAATCAGTGTGTAAATAATGGCCTAACAATTAGTATGTAAAACGTTAGTCAGCATTTGACTTAATGATATATTGTATTTTACTGACAAGGCAATTATATCCACCATAGAACTTGCGAAATGATGGCTTTAAACGAGACTGTTCATATTCGGTCATGTTTCATCAACTTGTTTGTCAATAGGTCAGTAGTAATCTGTAGTCAAATCTGCAGTGATTCTGGAGTCTCTAAAATGATCAGCAGTCAAGAACAGTGGTAATAGCTAAGGGATTATATTTGTGTGAAATTGTTATGCCGAGTATATTGTGATGGATCCAATTTTTCTACGAGATTTACTTCAAAATTTGCTTCGATTGTTAGCGCCAGTTCTACATTGTAAAATCTTATAAATCAATTTAACTGAACACAGAAAAGGAAATTTACCCAGTAGAATATATATCTGAATATTTCAGCATCTATACTTGTAACAAAAGTTACTCTAAAAGCTTTGTATATAATATTGAAAACCCCATAGTACACTTTCAGTACGTTTTGCTCTATTTTTCAGAGGCGGGGGAATGGTGTAGCTGGAACGAATGGTCACAGTGTACTGCCACTTGCACGGGACTTAACTCTATGCAGGTCCGCCAGAGGTCGTGTCTGTGCCCTGGACCACAATCAGGAGGCAGTGATTGTGACGGTGGATTATATTTCCTTTTATTGTTATATTTCTCATACCATAATATATTGTATGTTATTGCAATAATTGTATTCTTTAATGGTAGCATACAACATTACTGGCTATCAAAGAACTCCTTTTGCAATGCAGATGTATGACTGTGCACAACACATCGAGTATATTTTTTTTTTCAAGAAAAACTATACCTTGTGTAAATTCATAATTTATTTTTGATTTACCTTCTATAATGTAAGTTCAAAAGATTTTTCGAAAATCATTTGTGTTTTGAAGGTAACTTACAAATAATTACATACATGTATATTATTTCTTTTCTTTTTTTCTATCCCAAGGAAGCAAATATGAAGCCCGAGAATGTGTGAATGTAAAACCATGTAATCCTTATGGAGCATTTTTAGGTCGACGTAAGTATATGTCTCACAATATAAAATTTGAATTTCGATGTATATCTCATGATTTTTTTTATTGGTAGGTCAATGTTCCTATAGCCAAACCAATGCGTCGTAGGCCTTGTAATCTATACAGAGAGCTCATAAATCAAAGCCTTCTCCGTAAATTTCTCCAGATAATTACTCTTCGGTCTTGTAATCGATACTAGACCTATTTATTGTATTATTGATAATCAAACTCAAAAGATTAAATCAAAGTATTTACACTTTTCAATCTAGATTCATTGCTTTCATATTCAATAAATTGAGAACAATTCCAGTAGATACAGGCAAAAAAAGAATGCCTTCACACAAAAATTGTATCAATCGAAAAACTGGTAAACCATAAGCTGTACATTTATCTCTCCATTCAGTAACTTTGTAATCACGAAACATTAGGAGAAATATGAAGTTTGTAAAAGATTATAGGAATTCTACATTGATACTGGAATATTTTTCAGGAGGCGAGGAGTCGTACAGTTCTGAAGTGAATAAAACAGAAAGTGCTGACACCTCAAAGAAGGTAGAGTATATAGTGTTAATTATAATAGAAAAATAGAGTCCTATTTACTTATCAGAGAAGGTTACAGATAAGCATAAAAATACATGTATGCTTTGAATGACTTTTTGTCATTTTAAACGAAGCCTTTTTGGCAATAACATTATCTATATTTAATGGAATGTTAGAGGCAATGATAACATGTTTATGAATACTAGTGACTTTCTAGAACATGTTCTAAAGAAAGGTCTTATTTTACATGTTTAATTTGTATTTTATAGGATGTTGACGTCATCACATCATAGTATATAGTTACAGAAAAGTGGGGACATAAGACCATATTTAAAAAAAGATTTCCCCAGAAAATGGAATTTTCTCATCTTTAAATAGATGCAGAGATGAATCGGATGTGATAAAAATGGAGGAAACGACGACGAATGTCCTGATTTTTATGGTTGCTAAAATTTCTTAAACAGTATGTTTACAAACAGCGATTGTAAAAAAAAAAAACAAGTTTCAATTAAGAGAACATAAAGAAATCCAAGGACTCACATTCTTGATATATATATATATATATATATATATATATATATATATATATATATATATATATATATATATATATATATATATATATATATATATGCTGATATTAATATTAATGTAGTGATGTTTTTCCATTTTAAATCTTATTTTTAGGAAGCTTTTGTGATTTTCACATAGTACATTTTTATTTTATTATTTTTTCTTTATTTGTACGCACAAGCATTGTCTACCTATCACTCGTTTTATGTAATTCTCTATTTGTTTAAATTGTCTTGTAAATTAAAAACATTACTTTTTCCATCACAGTAAATAAGCACCTGTATAAATGCAATAAACCAAAGGCGTTTGATAATCTATTATTAGACTGCAGTGAAATTTTCTGTTGCAAGTTGATCAGAAGCTCCCAGGCAACTTACGAAAATATAAATGGCAATGTCTGAAGCAAAATACAGTTTGATCGTTTTTTTTCCCCAAATAGAACTGTATTCAGTTTACATCAATAACATACCAGAAAGGGAGATATATTGAATGAGAATATTTCTTTATATTATCAATAAAGTTCAAACTAATTTCAAGAAAAAAACTTCCTTATATTTTCATGAAAGAAATACTGATATATTAATAGTTTTTGTCCCTTTCCATACAAAGTCAGTATATTCTAATAAGAGCATTATGCAGTTATTTTTCTTTGATATTTAATCTCTACATGACTATTTTTAATTAAGCGCTCGTAAAAAATGTATATTATGCAATTCTTTTTATTGTAATGTTTGGAGATAAGTAATTGTACAGAATAAATGATACATTAAAATCCATTTTTTTTATTTGTACACAAATTGCGATTTTCAGTTTTGCAGTACTATACTATAACTTTACACATCAAGCTGGCATTTAGAATTCCTTTGTAGTAACATGCAATATATAAGCATACATGTATACATTGTAAGTCAGTACGTGGGATGATATTAAATTTGTTCCGTCTCCAAATATATGGAATCAATTTCTTTGTAATAAATAATAATAAAATTATATGTACATTATTTAAGTCATAGAATCATTGATGTCTTAAAAAGGAGTCGATCAATCAATAACAATAAAAACTCTAATTTGCAAATCTGCAATGCAAAGTTTTTTTACTCAATTCTTAATTACCTTAATAATTAATTCAATACACCTCAAGAAATCAATTTAAACGTTTTTATCGGATTTTTCCATTTAATAGCTTAAATCTAACAAAAAGGGTTAAAATCGTAACTTTGCAGTTCCTCTACCAGCAACCTAATCTAATATTTCAAAATTCGATGAAACAATTTAAAGCACACTGACATGTGTATAGTTACTATCGAGATATTACAGGTTTTCAATAAAATTTTGGGTCATAATGTTCTTCCGTTTTTTTTTCTTCCAAGTGAAGGATATTTCTTGCAAGTAAGAAGTGTTTCATTAGTGAACATTTAATATTAATGAGAATGATTTTTGTATATGTTATGCATCATTTAGTTTTCTCTTTGAAAAAAAGCCTTGATCTGCTGTTGAATACTTCTCACGAAAGATATTGAGATTTAACTATCAGTAAAGATGAAAAGACATAGTTTTGTATCAAAGCAATGAGGCAAATGTTTTTCTAAAATCTGATAGACAAAGAAGGTATTTACCTAGAATAAGAGTCAAAGAATGTTATTAGTAAAAAAAATATATCAAAAAAGGAGAAATAACAACTGAAATAATTTACGCACAGAAAACGTTTAGGAGAAAAAAAATGAAATATGAAGACAACGATTAGTAATCAAGTTCAAAAGTCAATTGGAACAGTAAAAATTGGGAGGAGGGAAAACAAGGACCTATAAAAAAACATTGAATATATTTTATAAAATTGTACATATAATCAAATACAAAAGTACATGCCAGTAGATGAGGATGACGTAAATAAGGCAACTCAAACATACGGCTCACGGCGGGATGCTTACTCCTCGCAGGCACCTGAACCCACTTCTGGAAGTTTGTATTGATTGTACAGTAGGTTTTTTTAAAGATCGATCACTGTTCGTTACCTTCAGCTATTTCATCAAAGTGTATCACTACTCTGACTATAATACAGAGGAAACAAGGTAGATTTGTACTTAAAGTGAAATTCTATTTTTTGGATTTAAAAAAAAATACAAAATGACTAATCAGCTCACAAAACCAATATTAATGAAATTATAGAATGAAACCCCAATTAAGGTGCGCATAAGAACTTTCCTTAATCAAATTTTAAGATTGTATTTAACAAAAAGAATAGAAAAGATAAATAAAAGGAATAAATACATAGAGAAATTGATTACATACTATGCAATTGTAATTATTGGAACATATATATATATATATATATATATATATATTTTACAATTGTAAGACTTTGAAAGAATTGTGGTGTATATTCTGAGATTCGAACGTCTATGAAAATTGTTCAATACAGGATTTAGAATGATCTTGACATTAAATTATCCTGCTGTATCCGAATCATCTTTTGCATCATTTATATCCTTCGTGCTCTTTTTAAAAATGAAAGGCATTTCTTAATTGTACATTAAAAAATGCAAAGGAATGCCAAACTCCGCCTTATTGTTAGATGTAAAAACTTAATGCCTATCATTAAAACATTGAAATCAAAGTGATAATAAGTACATCACATTAATCATATTGGACTTTGTTTTGTTTTAATTATAGTATCTTCTTCCCCAAACTGTTACCTCACATAAACTAAGCTGATTTCCACCTTTGAAGTGCATTAGCTTATCCCCGACAATTCTAATTATAACAAATTGCCCGACAAGACAAGATGCACACTGGATTTTATATGTCTGACCAGGTACTGCTGTCTCGTTAAACAAACCACAGGTCTCCATCTTTTCCCATGTAGTCATATCTCCTATTCGGACTTCAACATCATGGAAAAGCTCCGCTAAATACAAACACAAAAAATTAATTTACTTCATTATTCCAGCTTCACATATCCCTTGCAAAATTTTCTTAAAATTGCACCATCTATGCAAAATAAATAAATAAATATATGAAAATATAAATATATAATAAAACTAGAGCCGAGCTCGTTGCAAAGCAACGAGTAGGTCTTCCGTTGAAGCTGCAGGCAGGAAGAAGTGACCTTGAGTCAAGGTCATGCCATATCATAAGGTTATAAGCAATCTTGTAAGGAGTATCAAATAACAATGTTTCACTCTGTAGTAAAAAGATGATAAAAGAATGTATGTGACCTTGAACTTGTCCAAATGACCTTGCGACATGGCGAAAGCCATCACACACTCTGGTTATGGGCAAAACCCATCTGTGTATCACTGACTTCTCAAATTCACACATGTTCATACGGTCCATACATCCAGTCAAAATATCTTGTCCTTAGTGACCTTGAACTTGAGTTAAGGCGATGTCACACTCTGCATGATACCAACAATGTTTCACTAGGAAAAGACGGTAACGAATTTATAGTTTCTCATCCAAACTCATCAAAATGACCTTTCATCAAGACCATAACACACACTGGTTAAGAAAAAACCCAATCTTTGAGTTATTGACTGGATAAGTTCAACCATGTTCTTTCAGACCATAGATTGAGTCAAATAATTTATCAGGTTCCACACAATAATTTAAGGATTCATTGTGAATGTTTTTGTCCAGTTTGGATATTGAACATATTTGTGAAACACTGATGCCCTGGTATTGCAGCTTATGGCAAAGGTTTAAGTTTCTCAAATCCGTATCCAACTCCAAGGTCAAAGTCAAGAGATAAAAAATTATGTTAACAAAAGAAAGATCTCGTCTCAGGGAATATAACTGAAATATGAAACCGCTAGGACTAACTATTGAAAAGTATGGCAAAGGTTAAATTTTTTTATACTCAAGTCAAATGTTAAGGTAAAGGATAATTAACGGTATCCAAAGGAATGCCTTGTCACAAGAAATAGACATTGAAATATGAAAGCCCTTGCATTAAGTATTTAAAAGTTATGGCAAAGGTCAACGTTTTTTTTAAAGGAGGTCAAACCCAAAGGTCAAGGACAAAAGTCAAAACTGTCGGTACTCAAGGGAGGGTCTTGTCACAAGAAACACACATGTAAAAATATGAAAACCCTAACACCAACCGTTGAAAAGTTATGAATGAGATTAAAATGTTCAAAGGTAGGTCAAACTCTAAGGTCAAAGGTAAAAGTCAAAACTTTTAATTTTTTTTAAAGTACGTCAAATTCCAAGGTCAAGGTCAAATAGTAAAAATTGTTGATATCTAATGAACGGCGTTGTCACAAGGAATACACCTGTGAATGTGAAAACGCTAGTCCCAACCTTTCAAAAGGTATTGCCAAGGTTAATTTTTTTAAAAAGTGGGTCAAACTCCAAGGTGAAGGTCACAAGGTCAAAAATATTTATTCCCAAGGAAAGGTCTTGTCACAAAGAATTTCGGATGTGAAGTATGAAAGCCCTAACGCCAACTGTTCAAAAGGCTAAATTTTGATAGTTGGTCAAACTAAAAGGCTGTCGAAAGGATAAGAGAGACTCCGAGGTATTCACTCAAGTAAACTTATGATATTGCAGATCAAATAAAGCATGAGCTATAAGAGCAGGCACGTAGCATCAGCCCCCCTCCCCTTTTTTCAGACCTAACTTTTTACTTTAGTAATGTTCATTGAAAGTCCCGTTGACCCCCACTTTTTGTTGCAATATAGTCCCGTTGACCCCACCCCCTTCCGCCAGGAAATAGGATTTTGGGCAATTTTCCTTTTTTTTGGTTTTGGTTGTGAAGTCTTTTCAGGTAAGTTGATTTTTTTTCTCTGGCTGCCCCTCCCCCCCCCCCCTTTCAAAAACGATCCTACGTTCCTGAAAAGTTACATGTAGAGATGTCTGTCCTGGCATATAT